GATTCAACTTTAAGTAGTCCAGGTGGTTCAACTCCTAGGAACCTCCATTCAGATAAGGCTGGGGCCTTGGCTGATGTGGCAGAAAAAAAATCAGGATGAGTCAGTGTGAAGAAAGTCAAGGTCCATTGAGTAAAGATGAGTTAGTACATACCCATGCAGGCTTCTTAGGAGAGACAGATGGTATGCCTAATTGGCTTAAACAATAGCTATATAGGGTTTGGGTTTTGGTTTTTGAAGTTACATTGGTCAAAGGATGCAATTATAACCAGGCTCAAAGACTAAAAAAAAGCTTAAAAATTAGGCAAAATTTTAAAATTAAATAAAAAGTATTAGCTTGTTTATTTCTTCTATAAACATTTCCTTTTGTAGATGAAATCATGAGTTGGTTTATGAGGTACAGTTACATTATTAAGATTTATGGAGGATAGAGGAGTGCTGATAAGGTCGAAACTCAAAGGTCACATTTGTTTTGCTTTGGCATGGCTTATTCAATGTTTCCATACTCTTGTTTGTGATAAGGTCCAGAAAAAAAGTGTCGTGTCTGCAGGCAATCTTTTCAGGAGTCAGTTGTGTTGAAACTCAGCAAGAAACACAACCTAGATTCCAAAGGGGAGGGGCATCTCCTCAAGCCTCCTCCTTTTTTCCCTTTTTACATTTTAAATGGACTTTTGTGATTAACACTTTAATAGTGGACTTTATTAATATATTTTCAGATGTACTATTGTACCTAGCTCATATTCACCCATTACCATCTCTAGCCATTCTACACCCACCCACCAGTCCCCTTGGTTCCCCCAAATAGTCTCCTTTTGTGTCAAAGATTGATTCCACGTATCAGTAAAATGTGATATTTATTTCTCCCCTACTGTCTCAGTGAGACAGTTGCTGTGAGACCATTGCTGTGATGAAACACCATGACCAAAAGCAACCTGGGGAGAAAAGGGTTTATTTCACTCACAGTTTCACATCACCGTCATCATCAAAATCAGCAAAGACAGGAACTCAAACAGGGCAGGAACCTGGAGGCAGGAGCTGATGCAGAGGCCATGGAGGAGTGCTGCTTACTGGCTTGCTTCCCCTGGTTTGTTCAGCCTGCTTTTTCTTATAAAACCCACAATAGTCTGGGACCCTCTTCATCAAGCACTAACTAAGAAAATGCCCTACAGGCCTGCCTACAGCCTGATCTTATGGAGGCATTTTCTCAATTGAGGCTCCTTCCTCTCTGATAACTCTAGTTCGTGTCAAGTTGACATAAAACTAACTAGCCAACACATATACCATTACACTCTCTCATTCACCACCCCTTTTTATACCTCTTCTTCCCTTCTTATAGTTTTCCTACTTTCATGTAATATAGGTATATCTGTATACATACATAAATATTAAATATTAAATCTAGATAATCTTCTCTGTCTATCCTGCCTCACATACTCAATGTGTCAATAGACATCCCGGTAGCCTAAAGTGGCAGTTATCCTACCCCTTCCTGTGATTATTGAATAGAACTATACTAAACCTTTAGCATCCCTAAGAAGCCAGATATTTGTAAAATCATTGGATTTAGAGCAAATGAGCTATTTTGAGGACTTAATTTTGATGAACTTTAAGCATTTAGACATTGTTGATACTTACTCCCAAGATGGTAGGTGGTATTTGCAATGAGGTACAATTTTGGGGGCTCTGCACTTCAATAGATGTAGGAAATTTTTTTCAGTGCTTTTCAATGCACCAGTGGTATGTGCTAGTACATATATGTGTAAAAGTGGAAAGGAAACAAAGGTGGCCAATCAGTGTGACTATAGGTCAGAGCAGGAAAATTGTAAGTAAGCAAAAATCTGGAGAGTGGTAGGAGGTGTGGAGACACTAAGGCTTCTTGACTAGGATACATATCCACCTTGAGATGACCACAGACGAGTCTCCTCCTCTCCCACCCTCCCTCAACCTTTCCTGGGGATGAAGAAATCAAACTGTAAGAAGGTGGTGGTGTGGCTTTGGGGAGCCCATGAGCTTAAGGCACTTTCCTCATTTCCTGGACCTTCATTTTGTCACTGGGAGAACTTTCTAGGGAACCATATTTGGCCCTGGAAAACTCAAAGGAGCCAGAATGGATCCCAGAGGGGAGGAAGCAGAAACTGACAGCTTTGGATTTACTTGAAGCTTCTGGAACAATAACAAATAGGACTGGCTTTCTTTACAGACGGCCCAATCCAGTTCTCTAGAGAGAAAGCTATGCGGCCATTCTGGGTGGAAGAACCGGCTTGGAAAGGGAGCTTGCGCCTTTGGCTTAAGTGTAGCGTGTCTCCTGTGAATAGAGATAGTCAGACTGCGCACAAACAACCATCCCCGCTGGGCCTTAATTGGTCAAGAATTCTGATTTTTCTCAATTACTCCATAGGTCATGTTAGAACAAACAGGATTGGGTCCAAGTAGACAGAGTTTTCCCATCATTTTATTTCATTGTTTTTAAAACTGAATCCATGTTTCCCAGGCTATCCTTGAACTCATGATTTCCATACTTCAGTCGTCCTGAGTAGCCGATATTATAGGTGTGTAACAACATGCTTGGCTTTTTATTTTATGCTATTCTCTACTTCCTTTTTATTGTTTTGAAAGAGGGGTTCTCATTATATTGTCCAAAGTGGTCTTGAACTCAAAATCATCCTTTCTGGGCCTCTCTAGAGGGCATTATAGCTGTGTGACAGTGAACATGGATTATCAGTTCTTTTTTCTTTACTGGGAATTGAACCCATGGCCTTGCATACGCTAAGCAAACAATCTATCACTGAGCTATATCCCAGTCTTTCAATTCAAGTTTTCGTTCCTTCCTTCCTTTTCTTTTTTTTTCTTTAAAAAAACGTCTCAAGAATCCCAGGCTACTCTTGAACTAGTTATGTAATGGGAACGACCGTAAACTTCTAATCCTCCTGCCACCACCTCCCAGGTGCACCATGCCAACTTGATGTAGTTTTCATGACCAAACCCAGGGTGTCCTGTATGTTAGGCAAGCACTCTACCAAGTGTGTTACGTCCCCAGCTTCAGCTCACTTTTTCATCGTTTCATTCTTGTGTTCTTTTTTCAGTGGTAGAACAGAAGTTGCATAAACGCCATTAATTGCATAAACACCATTAATTGCACAACACAAAAATCAGCACTGCAGAGAAGATGGGACACGTTGCTGAAGCACTCTTGCTGGGGCCAGTTTGGTTAATATAACACATTGGCCCAGTGACTTTTTATCCGTTTTCCCATCATTCAGTTCGTGCTGGGCTGAGGATGTAGCTCAGCAGTAGAGCACTTGTTTGGGGCTTGTGAGACCCTAGGTTCTATCCTCAGTGCCATAAAACTGGTTCATGATTTGGCTTCACCTTTAAGCCAACCTGGAACTAGCTCTGTAGCCCAGGCTGGCCTCGAACTCACAGAGATACGCCTGCCTCTGCCTCCCGAGTGCTGGGAGTAAAGGTGGGTACCACTACTTCCTGGCTTAAGCTATTCTTTTTTAAAAATCATTTTGTTTATGTCTGTTTAGTTAGTTAGTTAGTTAGTGTGTGTGTGTGTGTGTGTGTGTGTGTGTGTGTGTGTGTGTGTGTGTGTGTGTGTTTTGCGTGTGTGGTCCAGGGACTGAACTCAGGTCATCTGGCTTGGCAGCAAGCGCTTTTGCCCCTTCAGTCATCTCCTCAGCTCCCTTTAAGCTCTTCTTGATCAACCACTCAATGAAAATAAAAACGTTTACATTTTTAAAAAATGAAGAAGATAAAAAAAGCTCATCAAAAACGTTGGCCACGGGATGAGAAGGTAACAACAAATCTAGCTTTCTTTCGCGGCAATGGTAGTGATAAAACAGCGGGTAGGTGATCCTCTCGAGTCAGCCACAGTACAAGACTGCTGTATTTACAAAGAAATTAGACAGATAATTGGAAAATGCTTCAACCCTTAGCTGAGGGGCTACTGGCTACTGGAGGAGGAAGAATCATTTTCCTTTGGAGGTGTGGCCTCTGGTAGGTTTCCCAGGCCTCAGTGGAGGGCCCCACATCCACACTCACACAGGCAGCCCTAATTGCACTCAGTGGGTTAGAGAGGAAAAAAAAAAGAGGTAAGGTTTGATGTTGGAAAGGAAACATATCAGGGGAGGCCCGGGAGGAGCTGGAGGAGGGATAGGGTGTAGGGCATGGATAGGGTCAAAACACAGTGGATTCATCTATGGACTTACTGAAGAGTAAAAGAAATGCTTAAAACAAAACCCATGATAAATGCAGAAGTGGGTTAGCTGGAAAAGAAGAAAGAAAAATGCTTAAAAATAAGTCGTTAAATATAAGTAAACCTTTCCAGTGTTTTTTTTGTTGTTGTTATTTTGTTTTGTTTTAAAAAAAACCACTCAATTTATAGCCAATGTTTCAGGACGTATTAGTCATGTTAATCCACTCACACCTGCCTCATTGCCATACATGTAAGTGATTGCTGCTGGGGTGCAGACCTGGTTCCATAAAGAGTTGTTCGAATTTGCATTGACTTAGTCTTTATAGTGCTGTGGTTTGAATTACGGACCTGACTCGTGCTAGTAACCAGCTGGTTACTTCTTTGTCTTTTGATCTTTCTGTGGTAATTTGAATGGAAGCCAGGGCCTTGTGTATGCTAGGCAAGTGCTCTGCCTGAGCTGCATCGCCAACCCTTTTTAATGGTGTTTATTTATTTACTTACTTATTTATTTTTGAAACAAGATCTCACAGCATTGTCAAGGTTGGCCTTGAACTCACTCTGAAACCACACAGGCCTTGAACTTGCAACCCTTCTGCCCCAGTCTCCAAAGCAGCTGGGATTACAGGCCTGCACAACTAAGTCCAGCTTTTAGGTTTTGAGACAGGATCTACATTCCCTAGGTTGGTAATGAATTTGTGATCCCCCTGCCTCAACTTCCCATGTTGCTGTGACTGTAGCCCAGTACCACCAGGCTCATCCCAGCCAGTTAATTACTTTTCTAGGATAGAATACACTTTGGTAGATATAGAGACAACAGGAAACCTTTGTTTAATGAACAAACAATTTTCACAGAGACTGTCTATACCACATTGCGATTACAACGTAGATGAGCTGAAACTATTTTGTGCAGATTTAGAAGAAGGGAACCCCTAAAAAGAAACCAGGCATATAGAGGTAGTTGAACAGCATTGGTGGGGAGGGAGCGGCATCTTAATTTCCCTTCAGCTCAAAAAGTAAAATGGCTGCTTAACAAACAAATGGAAGGCAGACACATATACACACTGGCCACTGTTTAAGTGGCTTGCTTGATGTTTTAATCCTGGCGTTACAGAGAACTGCATACAATAATGAGACTCACTTATCTAACATCAGCCAATGGTGCCACGCTGAACTCTTTGCTCTTCTGTTTATCTCCCCAGTTGTCCTCGTCACCCGAACAATAGATGAATGCCAGTGGACTTTTAAGATAAAGCACAAGGTACAGTGTTGCTTTGTAAACTTCTGTTAATCACATTTGTGGCTGCAAAAGGTTTTTAAATGCTACAAAGTCATGAAGTCAAAGCTTTAAAGTGACACCAGGAACAGTGGTTCCAGGCACTTCTCTCTGGAGGTTAACTTAACATGTGTGGAAACACCCACTTCTAGGTGAAAAGTTCTTCATTTCACCTGTGGATGTGTAAACCCCAGAGTATTAAGTAGTTAAGCAGTGGAGTGGGTGGGATATGCCATTCTAAAAGGAAGTGAATGTCTACACTGTGCATGGCTCCTTTCCCTTCCTGCTCTCTGTATATTAGAAATGCCAGAAAGCAAAGCCCTGTTTGCTTTTAAGAGCTGTCTTCCTTCCAGGATCAAAACCTCGTTCTTTAGGCCCAAGGATGAACTTACAGCCTGCCTGTTTCTACCTGGATGAGTAGAAATGGACACACAGTCAACACGCTGGGAACCCAAGGAATGAATCTAGGGCTAAAATGCTGGAAATGGAGTTGGCACAGGGCATGCAGGCCCCAGGGGGTTGCAGTCCATCAACAGGACACAACCTGTTGGCAGTAAGAGACCTCTGGGTTCAGTGGCCCAGCCATGGGAGTTCTGAGGCTTCTGTGGCTAATCACAGGGGATTATCTGAACCCAAGTCAGCTCCACAGGCAGAGATGGCAGCACCACACATGCCAGAACTCAACTCTGCTACTGAGGCAGTACTGAACTTGAAGCAGTTGGCCTCCAGAAAGGCAAGCTATTGGAATAGTTCTCTGCTCCTCAAAGTGAGGAGCAAACACCCCTTTTTTCAAATTATGCACTGAAAAGTAGTTTCTTCATTTTTCACTTTCTACATTTTGCTGGTTTTTAGCTAGCAGCAGTAGTACGGTACAAAGCAGAAAGGCATAAGGTCTGCTTGCTACCTAGTGTACGCACACACACACATAGACACACACACACACAGAGAAAATAATCTACAAGGAAAGGACTGGGTCAGCTATGAAGTCACGGTAGAAAGGAAGACTAACCCAAGAAAGTGGCACTGTCTACAAGGGGGAATCTTGTCCTTCTGGCTGAGAGTTAGCTTTCATCTCTATACTCATCGTTACTGTGCTTAGAAGCAGAACCAATCAATCTGCAAGTGCTAAAAATGGTCAAGTTCAACTGATTATCCCACTCATGTACATCCCGAAGAAAGTTAAAGCCTACTTTCCCACTTCCTGCCATCATTGAAACAAAAGCTGGCTGGAGAACAACCCCAACACGGATTCAGGCTGCTCCGAGGAACACACTATTTAGGCCAGCCAAGATTTCCATGGGGTCAGATTGGGTACCCTCTTATCAATGAGATTTTATTAAGAAGCCGTACTTCCTCTTCCTCTTAGATTAACGGAAGATGTTTTGGGCAGCTTCACCTGGAACTTCTCGTTTTGAGTTCTTAGGGTGTTTTGTGATTTGACTGCCATGTCTGTTGAATAAAACATGTATAACAAACTGTTCAAAATGTTGAAAGATCTGCTACATGATAGGTAAAGAACCAAGCTTGGCCACTCATTGGATGAAAATATTACATAGGCATATTCTTTAAAATTGCTGAGCCTCTGTTTTCTTATCCATATGTGGGGTTAACAATGCTGTCTAAAAGGTTATTTCATTTGTTCAGGCAAATGATATCACTAAGTTTAGTACCTGGGACGTGGTATATTCTCAACACATCATTGTAGAGCCTGTTATTTGGGGCAGCATAAAGAAATACCATTAGCTATGTGCAAAACTCATAGATGGTGAGATCTAATTATTCTGGTATAGTTGCAATTTTCAACACATTTTGAAGAATAGGGAGGGATGGTTTGGTTATGCTCATGGAAGCTAAAACTTAAGGCTTTCATTCTAACAAGAATTCTAGATGCCCCCCAAATACAGCATTACTTTTTAGCCCTTATTAAAATGGAAATTATTTTCTTGGCATAGGAATCAGTCCCTACCTCTAACATTCATTTGTTCTTCCGTCCTTTCATTTTCTTATATTTTTACAGTACTGGGGCTAGAACCCACTGACCCATGCATGGAAGGCAAACAATAGCAACTGAGCTGTATCCCCAGCCCTACTTTCCCAGTTTTAACCACAAAAGGAGTTACTTGCAAACCATCAAGTTGTGATTCACGAATCAGTGGTTTGGATTTTCCCAACCAAGCTTAAAGTGACTACAAATGAGTATTGAAAGTAAAGGCAGCGCTTCATGTAACTGTAGGCCATTGATAATATTCTACAACGTGGCTGACAATAGTTACAGTTTATATCTCCCATCATCAAGGTACTGTGCTAAGTAATTTCTGACATGTCCCATTTAACATTCCCAGGAAGCCTATATGCTATTAATATCACCACTATTCCATCTTTTAATAAAAATCTAGAATGCTATCCAAATTTGCATACCATCCTTGCTAATCTTCTCTGTGTCATTCCAATTTTAGTATATGTGCTGCTGAAGTGAGCACCACTACCATTTCATACATGAAGAACCTGGAGCTCAACGCAAGTTAAATTAATGCCAAAGTAACACATGTAACAAGTGGAGAAGCTTTGGACCCTTTTCTGTGTTGTGTTTGCACTATAGAATAGGAAACAATCATACTAGAACTTTGTCATGATCATATGGCTGGGTGTCAGGTGGGAGAGGAAAGCATCTTCATTTCCTGCTCTCTGAGCCCTCTAGACTTAACTCAGATAGTACTCCATCCTATATATCCATTCCATACACTTGCATTCTTCACCTGCCCAGATTATTCCAAACTTCAAAGCTGGTAATGCTCTGACAGCACAGCCTACATAAGCAAGTGCAGATGATCATTTACTTTCTGCTTACATGAGTCTCTTTTACAGCATCTGGAGATCACCTCTGTCTAACACAAAAACCCCACCTCTTTCACGTTTCTTGTGGTTACAGAAGAACCCAGACTAAACCTTGAATCAATATCTCTCTCTCTCTCTCTCTCTCTCTCTCTCTCTCTCTCTCTCTCTCTCTCTCTCTCTCTCTCTCTCTCTCATTCTCAGAGTGGAGGGGCTACATGTGACTAACACACCATAGCTGTCCAAAACCACCTGGGAATAGTTTGAGTAAGAAACAAATACGACCATTGACTTTTCCCGGCTTGAATTTTCCTCTGCCATTATAACACTCCCACAATCTATTTTTCAGCTTTCTCTGACGCCAAAGGCCTCAGACTAGCACTAAGCAAGCTAAGCAGCCACTGCTGCCCCTTCTCTTTCTCCCCCTGCACTGGAATCTTTGGCCCATTGTTAGCAGGAGGGAAGGCAGTGTTTACATGAAATCATGGATGCAGTCTCTGGTTCTTTTATAGAGATTTAAGGAGAGTCTAACCTTTCTGATTTCTTTACACTTTTAAGAAGGAATAGTCACTCGAGTATTTCAGCAGATGCTGGTACAGGTCTTGACGCCATTCTCTCTGAAAAACCAGGTAACTATTAATCTTACCCTTCACTGCACTGGAGAGAAATTAATACACTTCTAACTAGATTGCCCGAAACAAATACCTCTAATAGATTGTAATAAAAGACACTTCTAATTCATCTCTCCATTCCTAAGGAATTTTTTCAGCCTTATCCTGTATTACACACAGAAAATGGGTTATTTCACTTTACTCTTGCACACACCACAACTTATGCCAAATCAATTAAGTAGTTTCTATCACTTAATTCAAACTGAAAGAGTGGAATCTGTGAAGACAAATTACCTTAGAAGCCTTCCAAAATTCCTTGAAACTTAGTCCACTAGGATAGACACGAACTATATAAAAATGGCCCAAGAATTGGGATCAATTCAGAAAAAACGTAAAGAACATTGCACATGTTTAGTACTGTTATTTCCCCTACATACATAGTCAACCACATCAATAAATAAAGCAATGGACTTTTCAGTAATGTACACTTAAATAGTTACAAACGTACATGTAGAAAAAGGATACAGTAGTGCAAAAAATAAATTATTAAAACAGAAAGAAGTATGAACATTATTTTACACAATGCTCTATAAAACCTGAACCATTTGAAACGAGACCTCAAGTCAGTGAAAGAATGCAGTGATGTTAGCATCTCTGCTTCACATTTCAACCACACAGTCACTCAGCTATGAAAGACAGGTCACATTTGACTTTCAGAAAAATTGGTGCTAAACAACTTTTTCTGGGCTCTTCCACACCTCTGGCTGTTTGTGTCAAAAAGCATCTGAAGACAGAAAGTCAAACAGGTGACATTCTTTTGGTCTTCCTACTCAATTTCTGTGTGGTCAAAAAGCAGAGTAACATCTCTCTAGGATACTCTCTTCTGTTAAGGTGTTATTGCAGTTAGATATATTTACAAGAACATCGCCCCAGGGCAGTAGAGAGGGTGGAAATGCCTCTTCCGCAATCTGCTCCCACTAATTTTGGTTTCTGGATATAAAGGCCAGGATTCGCCGAATACCGTTGAGTCTATCCTTTAAGGACCTCATTGCTAGGAAGGGGAGCTGAGCTCTGCTTTCCAGGGGAAGAACCGCTAATGTCCACCAGCACCAGGCTGGACCATTTGGATTAACCTGCAACGGAGAAACACAGTTCATCAATCCTATTCCCATGCAGTCCATGTACAGATGTTCACATGCATAAAGTAAACACCCCATGTGGAACCGCTTCTGTGTGTGGCAGAGACTGCTGAGAGTCTCCAGTACTTTTTCTCCTCTTTTGTTTCAGCTGAGCATACAGCCACATGGTGGTAGGGGGTAGGGGACATTATTATTTCCCAGTGTCCCTTGCAGCTAGGTGAGGCCATAGACAAAATGTTGGCTAAAAAGATATAAAGAGAAGTGATATGTGTAAGTTCTGAGAAAAGAGTATGCAGCCTCTGCCTTCCTTTTTCCTCCCATTTCTTTTCTTTTGTAGTTTTAATTGTTTTATGTGTATGGTGTTTTTGTCTGCAAGTATGTCTGTGTGCCACAGAAGACAGAAGTGAGTATCTAATTCCCTTGAACTGGTGGTTGTGAGTCACAACGTGGGTGCTGGGAATTTAACCTGGGTCCTCTGGAAGGGCATCCAGTGCACTTAACCTCTGAGCTATCTCTCCAGCCTCTCCTCCTTTCTCTAACAAGATTGAAGTGATGGTGATACTCAGTCTTCTTCAGTCAAGAAAAAAGAACTCTCTAAAGATGACAGAGCTCTGTGATGGAAGAGCCTGGGTTCCTGGATGATCTCTTGGAAGAGAACTGCCTTAGTCCTCCAGTTGAGTCGCAATCATCTTTACTACTTGTTAAACCAAGCAAACCAACATCTTAACACATACACTGTGCACCCTAGGCAGTGTGCTTTTACAAGCTGGAGTATTCATTCTTTTGTCTCTTCTACTTCTAAGGCTCTGGTCAGGTCCTTTAGACTGATCCATTTCAAATCCAGGCCTTTAATCCTACGGCTCTTTGGGCTTGGCATGCCTTTTAACGCCCACCATTTTCTTGACTTTGGTGGAAGGCTGTAGTCTAAATATACCATGTCACAAACAGAGCCATAGTTATCATCTCCCCTGAAACCAAGAGCTATGATTTCCAGTTTCAAAGAACAGCAACCAAACATTCCAATTAGAAAACACATTCCTGTTAACCCTCGGGTTTTCTTTTTGACACTTCTCATCCCTTACCAATCCTTCACTGAAATTCTCTTTGTCATCAGCTTCCTGAGCACACATTTTAGACATTTATTACTAATCCTCAAATGAGTTTTCTTCCCACAACTTTCAAAAGGAGTCAGCTTTCCACTTGTAGAGAAGCCCATGCTGGTCTGAGGTTATTTGACTCCAAACTGCTTTGTGTGTTTCTCCCTGAATGTTCCTGAACGACGCTTGGTTTTTCTGTGCCTCTGGCTTCATCTGGACACCCCTGCCCCGTCTCTCCTGTCTCTCTCTATCTGTCTCTGTCTGCCTCTTCTCTCTCTCTCTCTCTCTCTCTCTCTCTCTCTATATATATATATATATATATATATATATATAGATATAGATATAGATATAGATATAGATATAGATATAGATATAGATATAGATATAGATATAGATATAGATATAGATATATACACACACACACACCTCACTGTGGTGTGCAAGGTATTTTCTCTTACAATCACTTCTGGATATCAGGTTGTTATTCTGAGCTTTCTTTCCTAAGATCGCCAGCAGATACTTAAACTGATGATGTTAATACTGTGGCTGTTTCTAAGAAACCTCCCACCAAGTTATGACCCTCTTGTTCGTGGAACTACTACTTGGGGCTGCCGAATTAGACACAGCAAACTGGATGAGTTTTTGCTGCTGCTGCCATGACCAAGGCAACATGGTAACAAAACTAATAAGAACGGAAATGATTCGGGCTTGCTATGTCATTAAGGCCTTATGAATCACACTAGGCATCTGTGTTTTCTCCTATGGAAGATGTGGTTAGCACTGTTGATCTCTGTCTTTCTGCCTGACTGGAAGAGAACGTTCCCCAGCAGGTGAAGGGGAACATTAAGCTTGAACATGACCTTGTTCTGAGTTATGCTGTCTTCTTGAATCACCATAGCCAAGAGCTGGGTCACCAGGAAGCACTTGCTGGCCTTGCCTTCTTTAGAACATGTGAGTGTTGCCTTTGTGTGGAGGGAGAAGAGCCAGTCTGTGGGCTGGAGGAAGCAAGACACTTCAGCCCATTTGGAAACCGACAGGTGTTTTGAAACCTCAGAATGGAGGAGGAGGAGGAGGAACTTTAGACTCCTAATGATTCTGTCTGATTTTAGAGAAAAATTGAGAGGGGGGAGGGATTTACCCAAGGTCACACTGCCAGAAAGGCAGGCAACACCGTCTTTAGGCAGAAAGGTCAGAATATGTATATGTATATATATATATATATATATATATATATATATATATATATATATATATTCAGATTTTTCTATTGTGATAGAATCAGGAAGCATAAACTAAAAAAGAAGTTCCAGGAGTGATTCTGTGGGACAGCCAGCTTAGAATATGGGCAAAGGTAGCATTAAGAAAATAGAATAGAATAGAGCTGCTCAGCCTTCTGTTCTCCAAACTGGAATTCCCCACGAACACTGCCTGATTGAAATAAGGCAGGCAAAGTGTGGTGAAAGCAAACTCTCCCCACTTGCCTAGTGGACTCTGGATCTGCAGCCTGAGCTCACAGAGACCTGTTCCTCAAGGAGAAGAGCAATCCAGTAGAACCTAATGAACCATGTCCTGGGGGCCAGTTTTCTCAGGACCTGCTCAAGCTAGGAACAATGGTGAGGGTCTAGACTTGCAGGGCTATGCGTAGATGGGCTGGATATGAAGGTTTCTGCAGCTGGACTCTTGTCGTGTAGGTGATCCTACCTCCCAGCTCCTGCAGGACTGGAGAAGCTGGCCGGAAGTAGCAGCCTTAGTTACCGTGTGTCTTACTCCCTGGCCTGTGCATGTGTCCTGTCACCCTAGCATTACCAAGGTGCAGGTCTGGGCTCCCCCTGGAGGTTCTTCAGTCACTGCTGTTGCTGTCTTCCTCGCACCTCGCTTATTTCTCAGTATTTGTCTTAGTTCCAAGTCCCTACTACTTACTACAGTTAACCCAATTCTGACTTGGGATCCTTTTGGTCTTACCCATGCCGCTCACTATCTAGCTACACAATCCTGTATTGGATCTGTCCTCTTCTCTGCACTGACTTGTTGGATGACAGCCACACACCACCTAATCACAAAGCCTGGACACTCCCACCTGCTGGGGCCAACTATTCTACACGGATATTCTTGCATACCTGGGGATCTTCATCTTTCTCTGGCATTGGACCGAAATGATTTAGTATTCGATTCTTCAGAGATGTTTTGAGCGAATGAAACCATGAGGATGCTTGCTCATACACACAGTTATGTAAGCCCATGAGTTCAGCACAATCTTCTCCCTGAACCTGAAAATGTCAAAATGAAAGTGAAGCAGTCTCTACCTTCTCCATCCACCTCAGCGTTGTTTTTGACACCTGACCTTCTTTTGAGAATCTGACCTGCCTTTCCTTCACCCATCTGGCTTTCTCCCGTGTAAGATTGGAACACCCAGGAGCCAGGTGCTGGGTGGAGTACAAATATGGCAGAGAGAGCAGGAAGACAAAAGGTTTAACTGAGAAAAATGCCTGAAACAGCAAGCAGAGAGACAGCCAGAAGCTTGAGCTAGCTCAGGTGAAGGCATATGAGTAAAGTGCATTGTGCTGGCTTATCCCTCTTCTCTTTTTATCTTTACATCTTTTTCTTTCCTACTCACTGGGAAGGTAGGTATGAATATATCTGTGCCTCAGTGTATCTTCAAGGTCAAATTGTTTTATCCATTAATCATGCATTAATCTACTACATAAATAATATAAATGAGCGTGGGATTACTGACCTCTTCATCTCCCCATTAGCTCAGAAAACGATAATTGGACATGTGACTTTTTTTTTTACTTTTTGGGATGGTGAATGACTCTGATTTAGGAATAGTGTTCTGGGGCAAGTTGCACATTTTAAAAATGCAAATTTATATTTAAATCTACCATAATCTCAAGAGAAATACATTGGAAAATATAAATCAATCCGTAGTTAAAATACTTATGTGTACACCCCATTCTAAATCAAGCCCCCTTGGGGAGGGGGAGAGGGAAGGGGTGGGAGGACTATGGATGCAACTGGGCAGCAGTCCCAACAACATTCATCCAGTAGCAATTGGGTGAGAAATGCCAAGGCCCCAAGACAATTCTGAGAAACCCCTTTGCAATCATCTTTGTATATCAAACTACCTTGATAATTTGACTGTTAGGTTTGTTGGCACTGGCCACCCTCACCTTTTGATCTTCGATGTATTCAATATCAGCTGTGTTGTAGCCATCCCGCTGGCCCTGATGGAGCACCTTGAAGCGCCTCTTGCCTATGCTGTCAACCACCGATCGGCCATCAGCAAAGAATTGGACATTTCTGATCTCTAAGATGCAACCATATTCTGCAAACCTGTATGTTGAGAATCAGTTCAAAAGAGTAGATTGGTGATGAGTTTTATTGTTCATGGCCTAGACCCCAGCCATTCCTAGCACCTTGTGCTGTTTGCTAGAGGACTTCTGTGCCCTGATCTACAACTGCAGCTATACAACAGGCAGCATCTATGAAAAAGAAAAGAGATCTGAACATAATGGTACACCTGCTATCATTTGTTGAGCACATATTATGTGCAGTGCTATAGTTTAAATGTTTGTCCCTCTCAAAGCTTGTGTTGAAATTTATTGTCATTTTAACACTGTTAGGAGGCAGGACCTTTAAGAAGTGATCAGGCCATGAAGGGTCTGCTCACGTGAGTGGATTGATTACTGCCAGAGTGTGTTCATTATTAAGAGGAAGGTGGGACTTCCCTTCTCTCACTTTCTCTTTGTCTTTCTACCATGTTATAACACAACAAGGCCTTATCACACCCTGAACATGATAGCATACAATGATAGTCTTAGCTATAAAGGAGGCTGTTAACAGGTGAATCACAATTTTGAGGCTTGCTTAGATAACTTAGACCCACCTGGTCTCAAAATAAAACAAACAGGCTTAGGATATAGTTCAATGGTAGAATACCTTCTGTGGTAGTTTGAATGTAATTGGCCCCTATAAGCTCATAGGGAGTGGTACTATTGGGAATTGTGTCTTTGCTGGAGTAGGTATGGCCCTTTTAGAGGAAGTGTGTCACTGTGGAGGTGGCCTTTGAGGTCTCATATATGCTCAAGCCACACCCAGTATCTCAGTCCACTTCCTGTTGCCTTCTGATCAAGATGTCTGTCTGCATGCTGCCATGTCCTGCCATGACCAAATGAACTAACCCCCTGAAACTGTAAGCGAGTGACCACAATTAAATGTTTTCCTTTTTTTTTTTTTTTTTTTTTTTTTTGGTTTTTCGAGACAGGGTTTCTCTGTGTAGCTTTGCGCCTTTCCTGGAACTCGCTTTGGAGACCAGGCTGGCCTCGAACTCACAGAGATCCGCCTGGCTCTGCCTCCCGAGTGCTGGGATTAAAGGCGTGCGCCACCACTGCCCGGCTGTTTTCCTTTATTAATGTTGCCTTGGTCATAGTGTCTCTTAATAGCAATAGAAACCCCAACTAAGACACCTGTCTAGCATGTACAGGCTCTGGATTCAGAAAAAAAGCCAAAAAAAATGACTATTATGGCACATTGGCTGTAGACTTCACAGTAGGCATAAATTTCTATTGCCTGTGGTAGTTCACACCTGTAATTCTAATACTGGGGAGGTTGAAGCAGGATTGCCATGAGTTTGAGGTCAGTCTGGGCTATACAGTGAGTTCTAGGTCAACTTAGGCTACAGTATGAAACCCTGTCTCAAATACAAATCTATTGCTTATAAATTACTTACTATACAGCATTATGTTACAGTATCCCAAATGGATGCATTTAGACAGGAACTGTGTTTAGTGCTTGGAGTGCACCAATAACTCATAAGTTCTCCCAATAAGGAAGACCAGTTAGGTAGGCATACCATCATGCCCACTTAACAGACAAAGAAATTGGGGACAAAAAGGCTATATGATTTTCCCAACATCAAAGGTGCTCCAAGGTCAGCACTCAAATATAAAAGTGGGTAGTTTAGCTCTAGGGCTAACACTCTTAACAAAACAATTTTCTTTATTTGTTTCTGGCTTTTGTTTTTGAGACAGGCTCTCACGTTTTTCAGGCTGTCCTTGGACTTCATATGTAGTCAAGGATGACCTTATACTTTGTATTCTCTGGCCTTCAACTCTCCACTTTTGGGATTGTAGGTGTACAACACCACTCCAGGTTTATATAGTGCTGAGGATCGATTCTAAGGCTTTGTGACTGGTAGGCAGGCTGAGCTGCAACCCTAGCCCACAAGACAAGTTTTTTAATGTATGCCACCTGCTTAATGAAATATGACTTCTAGGGTTATTTTAAATAGGGAGCCTTTCCCACTGTAAAACAGGCCCCAGAGGGATTGTGATCTTCACAGATGTTTTGGTGTTCTGAGCTGGCTAACCTCATGAACTTGGTTGACCCCACCTCTAGAAACCCTCCAAAGTAAAATAGAAATCCCTCGCTGCCTAACTTCCCTGTTCCCTATGTCTCCTCACTTACCCTTTGACAGGATCTCCAAGGCACATGCCAAACTGTTTCGTGCCTGTCTCAATACATCTCCGAATCATCAGGCGGTAACAAGGCTCAAAGATGTGCAGGGGACAAGGAACGGTGGGATAGGCCATGGTACACACGAAAATAGGCACGTTCTTATTTAAGCTGTCGGGAAGAGAATACGAGATGGATCTCAAACCAACGGGGTAGAGCACAGATCGGTTGGTCAAATGTCACAATATGATTCCCTTGGAGTAAGACAAGGAGTCATCAAAGTTTAATGGATGATACAAAAACACTGAGGTGCACTTGATGCTGTAGGCCAAGTTCCATGATCCAATGTGGAGACTAGCCAAGTCTGAAAGCCTAAACTGGCATTTCACACATTCTAAGTTTATTGATTAGATCTCTATTACCATAAACAGTGGGTGACAGCTATGCTGCTCCTTCCTTTCTTCCCTCCCTCCCTCCCTTTCTTCCTCCCTTTCTCTGTCCAAATGGACCAGTTCAGGCACTTTTCTTGAGGCATGAAGAGTGGCACTGGTGGTATAAATGCACCCAGCTTTCCAGAGGGGCAGTAAAACCTGCCTGCAAAGTCCTTACATGCATTTCAAATTTGCCAAGCTTCTCAGAGACTATTCAGAGCAGACCCAGCTAGGAGGAGCAGTCAGCAAGAGGCCAACAAGACAAATGTGTTCCACTGATGCTCAAACGCTTATGGACATGAGAATAATGGGGGACCCTCAAATCTAGAGACTCAGCCAATACACCTTCAGAGATACTGATGCACTCACTCTGGAACTGCAATGCAGGAATCTGCTTTTCAATGAATACCCTTGAAAACTCAGGGACATGACCCTATGGGAATCCCCCAACTGGGCCAACTCGTCATACATAGATCCCGGTCCTCTGAATCATCTAGTAAAGCCAGTGTAGGGACAAAGCACCTAAATGGGCCAAGAAATGTAAGGCCCTCTTGTCTAAATCTTAAAAGGGGCTAGGCCTGAGATGCCTTTAAACAGAAAGCCCCTCAGTATGTCCTATTGATTAGTACACTCTTAAGTGATAGTGAGAAAAGGACTCTGAGAGGTGCAGCCATTCTCAACCTGTGGGTCATGACCCCTTCGGGGGCCAAACAACCCTTTCACAGGGGTTGCATTATCAGATATCCTGCATATCAGATATTTACATTATGATTCCTAACAGTAGCAAAATTACAGTTATGAAGTAGCAATGAAAATAATTTATGGTTGGAGGTCACCATGACAATAGGAGCCGTATCAAAGGGTCGCAGCATTAGGAAAGCTGAGGACCGCTGGGTTAAAGACTAAGTGAAGAATCAGGAAAGAGATAGAACTGTGCAGAGTAATTTCAAAGTAAAAGTCAATGAGAAACAAAGAATTCTAGTCTCTGAGAAAAACATGCCAAGTGAAGGCACATCCAAACCGACGGATGCGCAGTTCAGAAATGGTCTCTCCCCAGAGGGCATATAAACTGAAGCGATTTTCCCCTCAGGAAGCCTTCAGAATGCTGTGAGAACTCTTTGGGAGGGCAGGGAGGAGGGTAGCAGTCAGAGGTACAGGACTTCATTATTATTATTTCCTGCTTTTTCTGCTAAGTGCAGAACAGTCAGAGCCCTTGAAGATCCAATTATGTCTCCATCCTGCCCCTTCACCTCTCACACCGTGTGTGGCAGAGGAAATACACAGCGAGTGTCGGCACCATGGCCATTCATTAATTGCTTGCTGTGCACCAACTCATTGGGGTCTTCAGAACAAGTCCATAATGTAAGAGCTATCATCTTCAAGTCACTGGCAAGGAAACCGACCCCCAGAAAGGTGAAATGGCATGCCCATGATCACGAAACATACTCAGTGATAGAACTGGGTGTTAACCCCAGGTATGGCTCACACCACTGTTTAAGCCACTAAAAGGCATCTTCCAGTTGTCTCATGAGGTCTCCTAATTGAGCTACTCCTTAATCCACTCCTTCCCATAACATGCACTAACTAGTGCTGAGATGCATCAGGTGGCTCTGTGGTTTGGCTGATGCACTTCTTCAGAGACCTGCTGGTAAATGTTTAACAACTGCTTCTGAGAGGGATGGGAGGGGCAATCTGTAGCTTTGTTGACTTCCATGATGTAAATAACCTCACCATGGCCATTTCAAACTAGGAACACGATATCATTGAACAAGGAGCTGGTACGAAGTGTGTCAGTTTCCGTGATCTGAAGTGCATGAAATGGAAAATAGAAACATGCATGTACGTACTTAGAGAGTTCTTCCATTTCCTCTTCGTAAAGCCTCCTTCGTTCCTTGAGTTCTTCTGGCAGGAATTTAGCTATGAGTTCTTCCATTATTACATTTTTGCTATACTTTCTTGATGGCAAGCACTAGAAAGGGAACACGGTAATAGAATATTGTACAGTCCACAGAAAAACACAGAGTCTGATGTATTCCAGATATTAGTGAAATTACTCTTGTGTTGTAATTTGGACCCATAATTTGGAAGCTAATACAGCCACAATATATGTATCTTTTGGATGTTAGAGTTTTGATTTTCTTAAAAAAACATGCAATTGAACATTTATAATTAAAAATATTTTAACAAAGAAACATTGCATTAAACTTTTGAAAATCTCGCAGTCAACCTAAAGCTTTAGATTTGAGATGTTCATGAGTGAATTAAAGAGGGGTGAATCATACTTCCTTTGCAGTTTATTGCTGTGCTTACAAGCCCTATCTGGGAAGTGCTGAAAGATTCTGGTCAAAGGATTCAGAGACCCAAAAGGCTATGTTCATGTATCCTGCCCTGCCCTGCCCTGCCCTGCCTCCACTCCAATTGAATGTCTGGCTCCTAGACCAAGTCTCTATGTCTTAACTTTAGTTAAAATAAAAACCACACATACACTAACAGCCAAATACAGGTGACTGTCTACTTGCCAGTTTATGACACCATCTAGGTATCACTGAAATTCAGAATCAGACTTAGGTTAAAATGTCACTAGTTTGTCCTTCCCAAACATCCCTACCATATGTATATGTAGAGATCTACAAGTAGTGTGTATTTAATAATATGGACCAAACAATGAATGTTAAAATATATGCTCATGAAGCAATGGAACCTAGAGGAGAATCTATTACCTCCACTTTCCTAAAGCAATATAATATACTTGTAACTGCATTCTAAGTACTTATCCTTATACTCACAGATAAGTGTAGCTCTCAGCCCTCACCAAAGAAGCTTCTCTTTGCAGCAGAGACCACTACAGAAAGCTACAACTGGTCAAAACGTACATTAACAAGTCGCTGTGGGGTGCTCATCCCCAGTTGATACAACTACAACACAACCCCTGCATGTAAGACTCGGGACATCGCAGAAGAGAGGGCAGGAAGATTGTAAGAGCCAGAGGACCAGGATGTGTGCTTCCTTCTCTATGTGATAGAAAACTTGTACCCATGAAATCTGAACAACACAGTTCTTTAAACAAGACCTGAACAAAGGACAACACCTGAAAACTTGTCAGTGTGGAAGGAGGAAATCCCATGAAGCCCTGCTCCTAGATGAAGAGCTACAGGCAATTAACAGCTGCTGGGGGAGGAAGAATCAGTCTTCCCCAGGGAGAAGCCCCCTAATTGGTTATCCAGTATCAGTGGCCAGCCCTAAGAGCATATGCATGAGAGCAACACTAAACGGACTTGGGAAGTTGTATTCCTATATTTATATGCACGCATATATGAAACAAAAGTTAGAGAATAGGAGATCACAAAATTGAGAAGGAGTGGGAAAAACACAGGCAGGGTTGGGTGGAAAGTGAGAGGGAAAAGGCAAGTAAATACAGCACGCATATGAAATTCTCAAATAATAATAAAGAAAAAATAAACAGCTACAGAGAATTGATTGCTGTGGGACTCAGCAGAGGGAGCTCCTGAGTATCAAACTGCTGGCTTCAGACAATTTTGTTTCTTCCCCAGGAGTCTCTATTCTGCCACGAACATGATTGGAATATGTATCACTTTGTTAAATGGTAGAAGTATGGCCTTGTATGAATACAGAGATAGATGAGAATATCTTCTAGCCTCTGAACCTGAGATCCCACAGCTTCTGCCTACTGGATGCCTTATCAGCTACTGTCATTGCCTGGCAACATAATGTCCAGTGAAGGGCTTTAGGGGAAAGCAGTGACTCAAGAGATAGCCAGTCTAAGTGGGAAAGTGATCCCTCTGCTGATGCTAAAACAAAACTCCAAAAAGCAAACACCCTAAAATGGTAACAGTGCTTTTCTCTCGAGGCTGAGCATATGGTAGACTTTCTTCCTTCTGTTGGTGTGAACTCTGTAGTGTTAACACAGCATGGGTGTCTTATTTAAATAGAAGGACCATGGAAATCTTATCAACAATCAGGTTGCAAATCCCACCTCTTTATCTAAGGGAAGCCGTTACTTTAGCACTTTCCCATTCTCATTCTCAAGGCTACTCTGGATGATGGGTTCACTCTAGCTCCTTACTGTCAAAGTCAGAGTTAAGGGAAGCTCAACATACACTTCTCTGGACCTACAGGAACATATAAATAGTCCCTTTTATTCCTGAGAGACAAGATCTTACTCTGTCTCAGGTAGACATTGAACTCACAATGCTCCTGTCTCAGCTTCCCAAATCCTGGAACTACCAGCATGCATTATCATTCTCTGGAGATAACCCAGCACCTGCAACCTTTCTTCAAGGATGATAAGGGGGAAGCAATATTAATATTGTTTGTAAGCTGAGATCCCCAAGTATCCAAAGGAAGGAAAGCAAGACATATTCCTTTATTTTGCCACAGGAAAGTCCATAAGGCCCACTTGAAGATGTAAGCTTATGTAGTTAATTTTAAAGAATCTGAAGTCTTCAGAGCTTTACAAGCAGCCAAGTATCTGCTAATAAGAACAGTGGCTCCTGAGGAGTTGTAGAAAGACCACATTGACAGTCTGAGAGGGTTCTTTGGTGGGGTGGTGGCTGGAGCCTTAAGCAGCTGACCTTTTTAAGCACAAATAAACATCACTGTATGCAGAAATCAGAGCTATCTAGTTCAAGGATAGTGGAAACAAAATTCACTCAAGATAATTGTTTATGAGGTACCACAATGGGACCAGAACCAAGATTTGTGTTTATTATCTATTTCGTGTTTTTGCTTCTAACATAAATGAGCTTCATTACTGACAGTTATTGAAAAGCTATGTGCTGCCTCATTTTCCTGAAGGACTTTGTGGAGAGAGAAAGGATGTCTAGGAGACAGCAGAAACAAACAGATGCGGAGGGGATTTTGGTCAAGCACAACACAGTGGTTTAGGATCCAGTTGGGTACTGAGTTAGTACAAATAAGTTAATGCAACCAAGGCAGAAGGAGCGGTTTACCTGGAAGAGAACGTCTTTGCACAGCGGGCACTTTGCATTATGATCTAGGCATCTCTCAAGACATTTCAAGCAAAAGGTGTGCCCACAAGGTGTTGTGACTGGCTCATAGAATAATCTGAAATTTAGGAAATGAAATAGGAGACAACTGTAAAAAGATTTTAAAAAGATAGGGGAATTCAGGGTTAAGGTTTCACAGAACTGTTCGTCAAAACCTGTGGAAGGGGTACTCTTTTTCTGTTTCATCACTGGTACTATTACACCTAAGGAAAGCATTTTCTTTTCCATTTCTGAACTATATATAGAAAGATGCATAGGTTCATATTTAGGGCATAACTAAATCATTTTGTAACATTGGTTCTAGCCTTTTCCTCTTTGGTCCAAGAAAAATTCAGATTAGTGCTCCGAGTGTCTGAATAGATTCCATTATTAAAAAGTATTTAGCCAACCTGTTTACCTGAGTATATTGTAAGCACACAGATACACACAGAGAGATACACACATGCAGACACACACAGAGACCCATTTCATCATATTACTATAGGGAAAAACTCAATTTGTTTGCTAACCTTTAATCTTTTCTTCACTTAAGTAATGTTTGGTGCCTGAAGGCTCTTACAACTGTAACAAACATGTGCCTGTCTTTTGTGTGGATAGACAATTTTCCTAGCAGTAGTAAGTAATATTGTTACTGCACTTACTCCTATTAACATATACATATAATATGTGCATATATCTATCTACATTCTCACGTATAAAAATATGTTCACATGTACCATATTTTCAATAGACCTTATTTTAATTGCTTTCAGAAGGGAGGATGTTTCTAAATCAATCTGGGGACCCTTAATAAAAAGTGTTCTGCACATTCAGAGATGCATAGATTTACTTTGTGTAAAGAGAGATTCACCTGAAGCAGGACCAGGAGTTAGGGTCAGCTGGTGATGACTATTAAGAAGTGTGGTTCACATTTAACAAGATGTTGAGCACAGAAAGAAGGGAGACAAATCTTGATCAGCTTCTTTTGACTTCCCAAGAGTGTTCAATTTAGAGCAAGAGGTTGTCAGCCTCATATTATATGGTATCACACATACTTAATTAGAGGCCAATAGAAGAAGAGGTCAATGATTTGAGAAGGAGGAGGAGGGAACACAGGAGGAGTTGTAGCGGGGAAAGGGAGAGGTGAAAATGATGTAAATACAATACTCGGATATGACATTCTCAAAAAAATCAATTAAAAAAAGAACTATAAACATTTGGTGAGTCTCAATACATTCCAATGAGTTACTTTATTGGTTGATTTGTTTGAGAGAAAACTTGGCAAGTTGCTTTCTAAATGCAATAAGGAAATGCAAAGGGCTGAGAGCCAAGACACATCTGAAGAACAAGGATGTGGGAGGACTTGCTCCACCAAGCATCAGAACTTATTATAAAGCCATGGTGATTAAAACAGTGTGTACTAGCACAAGGACAAATAGATTCATGGAACAGAATAGAAAGCTCAGGAATAGACCCAGGCATGGATTCTTGACGTATGGCAAATGGAACATTTTAAAACAGGACCACACGAGGACTTTTAATGCACAAATAGCATTCCCTATAAATGCTATAATGGCTATCTGTATGGGGAAATGAAAGTGGATTCTTTTACATCATACACAAAAATCAATTCCAGGTGATCGAAAAAGTAAATCTGAAAAGGAAAACAATACAGTTTTCAGAACATATAAAATAGAAGACCATCTTTTATGACACAGAGATTTAAAAAAAATCAAGAAAATTCAGAGACACTAAATATAAATGAAAAGATTGCTAATTTCGACGGGGCTAAGATTAAGACTTTTTAGGTTCATTTAAAAGCATAACTAAAGGGCAGACAAAATACATAGTAGGAGAAAGTGTTTGAAATGCACAGGTAAGAAAAAGCTTGTATCTAAATATACCTACAGCTTGTAAGAAAAACACACCTAAAGCAGTAGGAAAAAGAAATAATCTAGTAGAAAAATGGGCAAACAGTGGCACATGCAAAAACAGTGACCATTCATAATATTTCCTAACTAGAGCCAACCCAAGCATCCATCTAGAATAGGATAAAGAGACTGTGGCACACTCACACAATGAGATGCTTTGTGCTAATGAAAACGAACAAACTTCACTTACATGTTGATACTGAGTTCAAAAGAAGCAACCAGGTTGATGAAATACATTAGAATTCAAAGTTTTAAGATTTAGGCCAAACTAGATGATACCATTTACAGCTGCATATATATATATATATATATATATATATATATATATATATATGGCAAAATTATAAGGAGAAACAGAATAGAACTCAGGATAGTAGCTTGGGGGTTGGGTTAGTTACTTTTATATTGCTGTGAGAGAACACCATGACCAAGGCAACCTTTAGAGAAGACAGAGTTTACATGAGGCTTATGGTTCCGGAGGTTAGGGTCCTGCAAGGACAGCACGTGACAAAGTAGCTGGAGCTGGAAGCTGAGAGCTTACCCCTCAAACCTCAAGCAGGCAACAGAGAGAGTAATCTGGGGATGGCAGAAGGTTTGGAAGGCTCAAAGCCTGCCCCCAGGGACACACCTGCTCCAGCAAGTCCACACCTCTTAAGACTCTCCAAACAGTGCCACCAACTGTAGACCATTCAAATGCATGAGGCTATGGGGATCATCTCATTCAAACCACACAGGAGTTGTGGTTAAGTATGGTCCTGATTGAGAAAAGGCATATGGACAATTTCTGGGATCTTGCTGATGTCTTAATTATTAAACCAAGGGGTTACATGAGTCTTTAAAATGTTTTCTTCAGAACATATATGTTTTACAATACAAGATGGGTTTCTGAAGTATGATTTCAGGGAGGGTTCAGGAACTGCTGAGGTGAATTCTGTGCATCTGAGGTGAATTTGTGGTGTGTGTGTGTGTGTGTGTGTGTGTGTGTGTGTGTGTGTGTGTGTAAATAAAACCTAAGGCCTTATAAGTGTGAGGAAATTGTTCTATCACTGAATCACATTTCCAAAACTTTGTTTGGGTTTTTTGTTTGTTTGTTTGTTTGCATTTTTTAATTTTTTTGAGACAGGATTTTTCTGTGTAGCCCTGGCTGTCCTGGAACTCACTTTGTAGACCAGGCTAGCCTCGAACTCACAGAGATCCACCTGCCTCTGCCTCCTGAGTGCTGGAATTAAAGGTGTACACTACTATTACCCATTCTTTGTTTATTGTTTGTTTTTAAGATAAGGCCTTGTTATATAGCCCTGGTTTGCCTTAGACCCCTGGCAATCCTCTTGCCTCAGTTTCTCAAGTGCTGGGATTAGAATTATGTGTTCCCTCCCCCAGATTCCTTGGTGTTTTTCAGGGGTAGGCTCTTACTCTGTAGTTCAGGCTGGCCTGTAACTCCTAATTTACCTGCGTCAAACTTCTGACTATTGGTATTACAGGCACATACCACCATACTCAGCATATGTGAATACTTTTATATATCATTTGATTATACATATGAGAATAACTGATGAATCCTATCTACTACTAATATGCAAAACTATTTTTCCTGAGAACTTGATGATTGAGACTACTGCCCTTTTAAGAATATAAATATATTTTTCTTGCTATATTTCTGGCTGTGTGCAACACTCTTTTTCCATTAAAATTAACTACATATTAATAAGTGGTAATTATGATTAACTCTATTTTACTGCTGAGGAAATGAAAACTCAAACAGACAGAATAACATGCCGAAGATTTTACAGCTAGTTGGTAGACAGAAAGCTTGGAATGTATAATCAAATTTGACTCCACAACTAATCTTCCTCCTTCAGTCTACAAGACAGCCAGGACTACATACATCAATATACTAAATACATCCCAGTCAGTCAGCCGGCCGGCCGGCGATCCATCTGCATACATACACACTTCCACAAGCACTTTTCTCCTTCCCTTTCGGTCACTCTCCCTCCTTCCTCTGCTCTCTAGAAAGAGACACAAAGATTCTTACCTAAGAAGACAGAAGTATATATGAGGATGTCTGTCCTTTTTCCATTTAACAGAAGGATTTTGAAAGCACTTCAGGGAGACAGTTTTAAATCAGAGCAGGGCCAGCTTGTCTCACAAGAAAGCATTTCACATTATCGGAGTGATGGGGTAAACAATAGTAAGAAAAAAATGCCTTCCGTTAGATGTCCGTCCAGATAAAATGTCTGACTTATCTGGAAAGAGCTATCTTTTCCCACCAGTGACAGCCTTGCATTGTGTTCTTTTGCTATCAGGTTACAGCAAAGAAAGAAAAAGAAGGGGGAGGGAGAGAGAGAAAGAAAGAAAAGTAAACTACCTTAATACTCAGTGACTTAGGGAGCTATAACTAGATTATATATAAAGCTATCCTTTTGCTTATCACCAGTGCCACTGGGTCACCAGAGAACTAGTCAGATAGCAATTATTCTCACTTCACATCTCAAAATATAGTATTATCCCAAAGGTATCGCTTTACAGCAGCCCAGAGATGAGCCCCAATGGCTAGGGTGATATGTGCCAGGTACACCTCAAGGAGAATTTCATGCCTCTCATGATTGCAGGGCAGGGTATTGAGGTGTTGGGGCTAGGGGGAGGCTTCCCTTAATGGAGTTCTTCCAGTTCAGCAATGGAGACTTGGAGATTGATAAAGATTTCATTTATGTACTCTCTAATTACTCTTTCATTAAAAAAAAAAATAGGGCCTCATGTAGCCCAGGATGGCCTTGAACTCACTGTGTAGCCAAAAATGACTTTGAACTCTTCACCTTCCTACATCTAGGTCCCAAGTGCTGGGATTACAGTGTACTACTACACCTGGCTTCCATTCACACTTTCTGCCCTTTCCCTGTGAAACTTAAAGCCCGATCAATTTTCTCTCTCAAATCAAAATGTATAAATTCATGGTTTGTCTAACTTTTCTCTGCCAGGGCAATACCACAGGCTTAAAATTCAGTCTAGAATCTTATACAGATGGTACAAATGTCTAATTCATGACCAAGCAGCTTGAACTTATCTGTGATTTTAGACCTGTGACGATTAATGCTAACTGTCAACTTGACAGGATGTAGACTCACCTAAGAGACAAATCTCCAGGACCCTTGTGAGAGATTATCTAGATTAGTCTGAAGTGGAAAGACCCATCTTAACTGTGGACAGAGCCGAGCACTAGCACTCATCACTGTCTGTTTCCTGTGTATTGTGAAAGCAGCAGGACTCCTGATCTTACAGCCACACTTTGCCCACCTGCTGTTAGGCCTTCCTCACCATGAGAGAATGATCCCCGCCAGTGGTAAGCCAGAATAAACACTTCCTCCCTCAAACTGCTTCTGGTCAAATATTTAGTCAGAGCAACAAGAACAGTAACCAAATACAAAGGCTCTCCTCCAAAGACACATGAGGGCCCAAACAAAAGCCAACAACAATCGTGACAAAAATAGCAATGGCTACACGTGGGAAAAGGAACTTTTCACGACTAGAAAAATACAGGCAAAGGCATCCACACAAAACCAATTCGGTCAGCATCTGATGTGCAGCTTACAGACAAACCTGTTGGAAGGGAATCTACATGTTTCTTTCCAAGGGCTGAAGTGTTAAGGGCTTCAGCTCAAAAAGCGCTTTAGGCTAGCCAGGTTCCTTACACCACAAGGCAGTGAGAGTCTAGCTATAATTTAGTAGCCTACATAACAGCTACTCTGGGCAAAGATGGAACAAGGGGTCAGGAAGAGGGACACAATGGCTTTTAAGCTCAGGGGGTGTGAACTAGAGGGGGTGCTTATCCTCTGTGTGTTTATTTCTTGGACCAAATTCCTAACTCTTCTACAAAGTCCCTTGTGATTAGGGACAAAGAAGATGAAAGAGGAAAAGAAAAGGAAGAGGAACAAAGGAATTTCAACCTCAGGATTTTTATTCCGCAGGGAAAACACAAACAGGATGAGTCTGTATGTTTGATTTTGGGTCGCCTGGATTTTGGCAGGAGTGTTAAGGAGGGTTAAGCAGAACAAAGAGCTGCTCTTTCTGAGTAAGCTAAATTAAATCTACTTCACAGTGCCTATCATGGGCTTTCGAGTCACAGCACTGCTGTGGTGACGATGGGGCCCAGTCTCTGCTTGAAAGCAGGTGTTTGCTATCTCATATCTTGGCTTTAGCGTGCTGCACTTGACTCTCTGTTGTGAGGGGCTGGATGAAGTGGTGCAAAGGATCTGTTTCTACAGTTCATCCCACTCTGGTCCACACCACTTAAACAGACTCCTGACAGTGTGTTCAAAGCTTGGTTTGACGACATCTGTGCTGTATCTGCTGAGCTAGCTCACACCTGCTTATGCTACTACAGATTTTTTGTGTATTATTATCTTACTGTTATTGTTATTATTATTATTATTATTGCGATACTGGTTATTGAATCCAGGACCTCATGAATGGTAGCCAAGTGCTCTGCCACTGAGTTATTGCCCTAGACCCAAGTATATTTTCTCTAAGAAAAGTCCATGTTTCAGGTAATAGTTGCCTTATTCTTATTCATATGATAAAAAAGTCATTCAGAACATAAACTCACATGACCAATAGGAGAGAAATAAGAGCTTGCAAAAGACAGGCCAACATTTGTTCAAGTGTCTCAGTTCCATCTTAATACTTTTGAAGAAAGTCACATTTGAGAATCTAATGAAAGGTATATGCTTCTGTCTTAGAAACACACACACACACACACACACACACACACACACACACACACACACACTTTTACATATTACTTCAATGAATTCATGGATCTATTTGAATGCATACATAGAGATTCCCCAGAAGACTGTGGATCTAACATTAAAGACTTCTGGGTAAGAAGAAAAAAGAGAAATTTTTGGAGTACTTACTGTTTTCCAGGCATTACTCTAGGCATTAAATGGTTTTTCTTAATTAATCATCACAACCCATGGAGTACGCACCACTGGTTTCTACTTTACTAAAGAAAAAATAGTGGTGGCAAATGTCTAGGACAGGGTCTGTGAGCGGAAAGAGCTAGGGTTCAAACACTGACTTCAGCGCCCCTTCTCTCAGCCACTAAATCACAGCAATGAAATGAAATAAACTTCAATTTCAGACCACAATCACGGAATCAGTCTATTTGTTCTTGAGGAAGGAGAGACAACATACACAACCCAATTTAGGCTACTATTTGGCATTAATATTAACCCTTGAGCCTTGAGTTCTTAATGTAGTAGTTTAGATTCAGGGTCGCAAGTTCAAATACCTCTAAGGCTCAAGCAATAATGTGAGACAGGCTGATATAAGTTAATAGGATCATGACAGGCTGGAAAGCATATATCCTGTTTCAGCACAGTCATATATAATAAAATCAAATCTAATGAGGACCAAATAGACATGTTCAACTTGTGGTCCATCAGTTTTTGACCTTTGTTGCCTTGTCACTCCCTAGGTCTTTCTAAGTCAGGATTTAAGGATGTGAAGAACACCATTTGTAAGCTGGGGACAGCAGCGGTCTCATGACAATGGGGTTTCCATTTCATCTGTGCCATGATTTTACATACTAACTAACTCAGTAGTTACTAGAGGAAAGGCCCAGATACCAAAGAGAAGGAAGTACCAGGCAGTAAGTGATGGCCCACATCACATACCTCATACACAGTGAGCATTCAAGGTCAGAGGCATCAAAAGATGCAAGCGGAATACTGAGATCTGGTTTGGCCACTTGATGAGCAGGAAGATCTGTGATTTAGAAAACAGTTAAGTCAGAGCTGGATCAACTTGGTTTTACAGACAGTACTTCTGAAGGGAAAAAAAAAGTTTTTCAGATTTTCAATTTCAAACTTCCCCCAGAGTTTAGTTTAGTGGCTGCCTGAGCAATTGCCAATGGGATTCCCTAAGTAGGCTCCCAGGGGTGTTTTAGCAGTCCCCATAGACAGAGCAGTCCAAGGCTAGAGCTCCTGGGGAACGTTCAAATTCTGAAGGCACCTCACTCAGCAGTAGCAGCAGTGGCAACTTCAAGGACTGAGCCAGGCCTTCAGAGCTGCCACTGGATCTTGGTGCTGCCAATCTCCCTTGGAAAGATAGGAGACCATAGCTACTGCCTCTCAGAATACAACTAGGTGAGACCTGACCACACCCCTCCATCCTACATTCCCAGAACAGGGATGAGGGCAGGAACCGGTTGGCCTGGAAGAAAGTGACATGATGAAAAGCATGGGATGGCATTCTTGATGGGCTGCCTGCACCAATGTCTTGACTATGAATGCTAATTATCATACAGCACTTTCAGTGTGATATCAGGGTACCCTGTACATGCTCATGAAAACCTCATAGCAACCCCTGGGCTTTCACAGCTGGAAAGTGCCAGAGCTAAGTTATAAGCTCCGAGCCAGGAGAGCCCCCAGACAGAGGATAAGTATATATGTATATAAGTATATATGTCAGTGAGCCCAGTCATCTGCATTAAGCTACTTTCTCCCTGGGTAGAATTAGTACCTTGTTTGGAGACTTTATTGGGCACGTCTGTATCTTCTTGGATTTCATCAACTTGGCAATGGTTCCTTTTTTTCCCCTGGCGTTTGCCAGGCCTGAGGGAGGCAGCATCCTGCTCGTCTTCTTCCTGATCTTTCCCACTGTCTTCTTGACTACCCACCTTTACTTGAGCTGAGCTCTCCGTGTTGCTGCTGTCTCCTCCAGCTGCTGCTTCCTCCTGACTAGAGCAATGTGGAAGCTCTGGATTTTCCTAGATGAAGCAAAAACCAGACATCAAAATCTACTTGAGACCAATAGTGTCCTTCAGTAGTCTTACCCCGAGGGGACAAAGAGAAAGCAACATAACCCGGATCTTCACTCCTGAACACTCAGTGGATACACAACTCAATGGAGGGGCAGTCATGAGGCTTATTGCTCACATCTAATCTATGTCAAAGACATGTTTAGCTTAAGTAGAGTTAGGGGACTTCCCTAAGCAAGGACAAAAGGCACATGGGAGGAAAAGCTCCCTGGGCAGGGGTGAAGGAGGGACTGACTGCAAGGGAAGCACCACTCTGCCCTCCTATCCAAACCATTCCCCAGTGGTCTGTAAGGAAATCAAAGCAGTCTGTGAGGGGATATCCTGTTACTGGATACTTCCTCCCCCCTTCCCCTCCCCCCCGTCATTCATAGCCATTTTTCAAAGGGCGTTAGGTAAGGCTTTGGGCCAGCTCTGTACAGGCCTGCCAAGGCAACCCATGCTTCACAGCTATATGCTATTTTCATCAGAGGGACAGGAGACAATCCATTCCTTTTCCTCAATTTTGGGTGAAAAGTCTGAAAAGGAGACAAAAATAATTTGGCTTAATAGTAATAGCTTGTCTCTAGCCTTTTAGAGAATTTCATCCAGGAGAAGGATATTGGAAAGTGGCACTAGAAATAATTCCGAAGATGGGTTTATATATTTGACAGCAAAATGTTCACCTTCATTGTTTCCCTCTACCCCTGCCAGAACTTCTAGTGGACACAGGCGAGAGGACACAAGGAACTGGAGAGGAAAGCAGAGGATGTGGGTTTTCACAGTCTATATCCCAGGATGTTCAGGGGGTTTCGAGGACTACATAAAACAGACCTATAGTCTTGCCTTTTCCTGAGCCCAGAGCACTGTCCACATAAGAACCCAAGGCCTTGCAAAACAAAGTGTGGGTGGAAAGGCACTCGTTGATCCCCAGCTGGCTCACATTGGAATGACAGAGGTTCTGTTTCTTTCATTGCATACTGAATTTCAAGTAGAAGTCCCCATTCCGAGTGTTAGCTGTCTTAATCATGTACTAATGACCACTAGGGGCTCTCTGATTTCAGGAGATACTCCAAGTTCTGCCTTTATCAAGAAAAATCAGCTGCCTTGCATTTTATTCCTTCTCTAGAACAGGGACAAAAACTGGGAAGATGTGAGCATTCAGGGCTTATATGCAAGTGAGGAACTTCAGGTAGAAATGGAGAAGAAACTGCTCCCCAAAGGTGCCCAGGAATTCAGTGTTACACCTCGCTTTAAGTCTAGTCTTTTTGAGCCCCAACTTCTGCCCACTTACCCTGTGGCAAAAAGGCCAGCTCCCGAAGCCCATTCCTCTGTGTTCTGTTCCCTTGTTTTCAAAGAAAACCACAAATATTTGTTTTCATTCTCAACTTAACTCTCATACCCCTACTTTGCTATAAATTTGCATGAGAAGCCTACTTATGTGGCAGGTATAAACAAGAACAAGAAATCCCCTCCATTTGCTTCCCAAATGGAGTTACCCTTGCACAAAATTCTCACTGGTGCTCAAAGGCCATCAGCTTGAATCTTCCCCAAACCTGAAGCCAATAAGCACACCCCAATTACAGGGTTTCAGGGGAAGTGGGCCAATCTCTTTCTACTTCTATCAAATCTCTCAGTTTTCTGGATCTGACCAAGAGGACAAACACATTAGTAACTAAATAAACTTTTGACCATGCCTGAAATTCCCAGTTGTAGCTTTAAGCAAAGGACACAGCCATTATCAACTCCATCCTTCTATTTCCCTCAGGAACCAAAGTAGGAGAGGTAGGGCTCTCTTCTCGTGTGCCCACAAAAGAGCCAAACGAAGTGTCATGAGCGAGCTGGGTGAGTTGAGTTTTACCTGTGACAACTTTGGTAGATTATGACTGGTGCCTTCAGTAGCCATTGACTCTACGTGTTCCTTTAATCTAGGGTGAGGTGCCAACAGCTGCAGGATATCAGGAGAATGTTCCTGAGAATCCCCCGGGACTGATGGTGTAAAGAAACTAAAGAGAAGCTGTGACATAAAACAGAAGACTTCACTACTCGAGTTTCTACAGGTGCTAAACTAAGGTGAAGGGGGGAGGGGCGGGGACCAGAGAGCACACAGCTTGCAAGGCAAAACTCCAATGAGGAAGCCTTGGAGCAGTGTCCCTAGACACACTAAGGAGAAGTTGTTGCATCAACACACATCAGAATCATCTAGGAGTCGGGGGCGGGGGCAGAAAGATTGCTTAGTTATTAAGAGCACATACTGTCCGATTCCCAGCACACATGTAAGGTGGCTCACAACCACTTGTAACTTCAGCTCCAGGGATAGCTGACACCTCTGACCTCCAGAGGCGCCAGTACTCATGTGCAAACACCCACACACAGATTCAAACACACATTCATATTAAAAAAAATAAAATACATCTTTTTTTTAAAAAAAGAGTCACCTAGGAGCTTATGAAAATGTCAGTTCCTGGGTCCCACTCCAATCTCCCCAGGTCTGAAAGTATGACCCAGGAATCTGAGTTTTGAGAAGGCATGACAGATGCCTTTGTTCCTTAGCCAAGGTTAAGAGCCACCTCTGTGGTGCCATCACTCTGCAGAAATACCTGCAATGGGACTTTAAAATCTACGTGAACCAAATGAAACATAGAGATTAAGTCAGAAGAGATGCCTCCTGCACTGGTCAGTTTTTTGTCAAATTGATACAAACTAAGTCATCCTGAGAAGAGGGTGCTTAAATTGAGAAAATGCCTATATCAGATTGGCCTGTAGGCAAGTTTGTGTGGGTATTTTCTTGATTAATGATTAATGCAGGAGGGACCAGCACACTGTGGGTGGTGTCACCCCAGGCAGGTGCTCCCAAGTGTGTCTGAGAAAAGTAGCTGAATGTGACCCTCAGACTCAAGCCAGTAAGCAGATGCCTCCAAGGCCTCTGCGTGAGTTCCTACCTCCAAGTCCCTGCCTTAAGTTCCTGCCCTGACTGCCCTCACTGATAAGACTGTGCCCTGGGATGCATAAGGAAAACAAATCCTCCCTTTCCTAAGCTGCTTTTGGTCATGGTGTTCATCACAGCAACAGAGAAGCAAACTAGGACGCTTCAGTTGAAGAATGCAGAGTCAAGTCTGCAACAACTCAATGGGCAGAGAAGCTCACAAATCTCCACTGGGTTCCTTGCTGCTGCTTTTCTCTGCTTATCTGTTTTGTCTCCCCCGCTCCCCTGCACCATCATCACCCCTGGATTTTAATCCCTTTGGAGCTGGGGACCTGAGTAATTATATGTTAAGAAAGCAGAGCTTAGACTTCCTCTCCCCTTCCAGCCTCTTCTTCTTCCTGGTCATCGATACAGAAAACGTCAGGCTAAGTTCAAGTACCTAGGGGCAGGTAGGTTCACTTCCAATTGGATAAACGGAGAAGGGAGAAAGGAGTGGAAGAAAATGCTCTAGGAGTCAAAGACAAGCATCTGAGTGCAGGCTGCACCGTTAGCTGTCCACATCCTTGCTTCAGCTCTCCTCTATGCCATCAGGGGTTAGGGACTGTACGTAAGTATGCATCTACCTAGCCATCTGCGTGCGTGCGTGCGTGTGCATATGTGCGTGCGTGCGTGAGCATATGTGCGTGCGTGCGTGCGGCACCGAGAGAGGGCATTACTAATCAGCTTCTAAAACACACTGAAATGTTTATCACCTAGTAGACCCTGCCATGTTTGGAGCCACTATAGAATGTCCAACGGTGTTGTTCAATCTACATAGTCGGAAGTGTTAATTTGTCAAGAGAATTTGAAAGAACGCTAAACTCAAAATTTGGTTTGTTTTCTTGCTTGTCCTCTGAAGGTTCTTCGTGATGTTCCTTCCTGCATCAGCACTTTCCCTGCACAGAAGCCCTACTCAGCCTTTAAAGTTTGGCTCAAGTGCTGCCTCACCTCAATACTCCATTTCCCTGACCTCACCTGTCCCTTCATGTTCTCTACAGACCATGATACTGAGCCTTAAACTATACCATCTTACTATGCACTGTGTCACAAAATAAGTCTTCCTCTCCAGACAGAGATAAATGCCTAATAAATGTACGTCATACTCATGGAAATGATGAAGGCATTTATATATCGAGGGGATCAAGAAAAAATCTAGGCCGGGGCGGTGGTGGTGCATGTCTTTAATCCCAGCACTTGGGAGGCAGAGGCAGGCGGATCTCTGTGAGTTCTAGGCCAGCCTGGATTACAAAGTGAGTTCCAGGAAAGGCGCAAAGCTACACAGAGAAACCCTGTCTCGGAAAAAAAAAAAAAAAAAAAGGAAGAAGAAGAAATCTGGCACTCAGGTGTCTCAAATCCTCAGAGAGCTGTTTATGTTTCCTAGCATTGCTAAAGCCCCTACTTTCCAGGTTTAAGTTGACAAAAGTGGGAAGGCACACAATGCCCAGGGTCATAAGTGTAATCTTTCAGAGCTCACTCATCCCCAGGAGTCAATGTTGGTTCTCAGAAATCCTACTCAGGGACCCCAAAGGGTATATCCACTTCTGAGACAGTCTCCCTGGAGAGGCCATATAGCACCCAGGTACAAGGTTGGAAAGACAGAAGGTAGCATGAGGAAAAGGAGGTTACAATCAAAAGAAACAAGGCAGGAATAATACAGCAGTTCCCTTCTTAGCTTTACCACCTAAGATCTCTCTGTAGGCCTTCTCAACGGCTTTGGAAAGCATAAGTCAGGGGCAGCTTTCAGTGAGAATAATCGTTCCACATGAATGCAAATCAGTTCTGATGTAATTTCATCCATAGAAAGGCCTGGGTCAAGAAGGAAGGGGATGGTCCAGAATCTGTAGTTTGAAATAAAACATAACGCTGTGGGTTCTAAGGAGGCTTATTAATGTCTAGTGCATCTGGACAATTTGTCAAATGTTTAGCCCTAAAACTGGAATAATCCAGTGAATACACACAGTTGAGGCCTGTCAGTGTGTTTACATGGCTGTTGTAGCTCTATAACACTCAGCAGAAAATTGCCTCCACATTCCTACATTAATTTCAGAATTTTGTAAGACTTATCTTAAGCACACATTCACTTGTATTGACTGGCATTCATATTAACCAACAAAATATTGCAAGTTCCATGAGGAACTTAGGCCTTCTTGTGCCCCCAGAGTTTCACACAATGCCTTCCTTGTCTTTCATCAGGCCGGTATAGAAATCACAATAGTCCATCCTTAAAAGCAAACTGGAGAGAGAGGTTAGTTCAACTGATGATACCAGAACTTCTTGGGCCACCTGAGGAGCGAATGAAAGAAAGGTAAAGAAGCATGTGGCCTCAAGAAAGTCACTGAGCCTTAGATTCCTCGTCTATTCGTCTCATCTATAACATGGTAAGAAATTAAGTGAGGTTATGGGGACTAAATGGAACCTTCTACAGAAAGTACAAACCAACTGACTGGCACATAGGCAATGCTCAGGTAATGTTATACTTAAGTTTTAGAAAAGGTCCATAGATTGCTAATAATTCTGCCTGAGTCATGCCCCTTATCAATAAACCCTTATCCATATACACAAACCAGGTCAAATGTTTTTCCAGACAGGAGATTCTATGCCAGAGTCAGAAAATCCAGAGTCCAGCCTCTGACAATATTATCAGTTTTGCTAAATATTCCATTCTAGAGTCTTCAGAGACCAGTTCTGTCTCACTTTCTTCCTCCCTGTCCCTGTCAAACCATTACACATAGATAGGAGGGCTTGTGGCCTGGTGTTAAATGGTTGCTTGGGGACAGAAAACCAAATGCAATCACTGAGTGTCAGCATCCAACTTCCAGACACCAGAGGAATATATTAGAATAAATGACAACACTCATCAAATCAGGATGCTTGAGCCTTCAATCAAGTTCTTGGTATTTCTCATGATATTTGTTTTACAACCACAATCTCCTGGCACCCAAGACTTGGAAGGACTAATTAGATTGCTTCATAATGGACTCTGACTTTGCATTTAGGAGATACTGGGTTTAGTTTTCTAGCAGAAGAGGTAAAGATTTGAGTTCTGTATGTGGCAAGCAATATGGAGACCATCAGTATCCTTTCCCAGGAGCTAGCCTCCATATGTGACTGGTGAAAGGTGCGATTCAGCCAAAGAAAAGTTATAAAGTGGTAAGCAGCCCCCACCCCTGGCCCCTGATCTCTCATCAACAAGCAGACTGTCCTCAGTGAGCCTTCATGCCCAGGTTAGCTTACTTGGTTTAGTTTGGTTTATCTCCCACTGATTCCAGGTCAAAGCATTCATCATTGGTTCCTACAAAAAAAGTAGGCCCTGCCAATTTGATAGTACCTACCAGAACAGCGGGGCTTCTGGACAATTAGTTGGCCTCTCTCTCATGCCCCTTAAACCCAGAGAACCACCCACTCAGGATCACAAATATGGAGGAGGGTCACATCTTCATCCTTCTCCCTAGAGTAGACAGAGTGGTGGGGGTCCACTAGGTAGCTGACCCTGTGGCACTCAACTCACCCTTTGAACTTCCGCTCTGGCTTTCTTGTTTCTTCCGTCAAGAGATACACAGTAGAGAAATTCTCTGAGTGCTTCCTCCACCTTGCCTAGGGTGGCTAACGCTTGTGCTTTTCTGAAGTGTGCCTGGAAGAAAACATTAGCAGTCAGTCACATCTTCTTCATCTTCTTAATGTAGCCTCTACTAACAGCGATTGCTGAGTACTTCCTGAGCCGTCACTATCGGGTGGAGTGTTGTCCAAAGACTTGGATTTTCATCCCGGTAACAATGGCTAACTATTCTGAATCCCATTTTAAAGACAACAAAAGGGGGATCCAGAGAAATAACTTGATCAAAGTACAACAGCCGGAAAGCTGTAGAGTCCAAGTTTAAACCTAGGACTGACTACATACAAAGCCCATACTCTTATCTTCTATGCTTACCACCTCCCCTCCACCCCACAGCTGAGGATCACAAACAAGTCAGAGCCTCCATTTAACTACAGACTACAATAATTCAGTTTCCACTGCTCATCCAGAGATGACTTGCCTCTCTTTGAACTGGTCTGTAAGACAGTCAATCACTTTTACAGAGGCCTCAGAGGAAGACCGTGGCTCCTCCAACATTTCAAAGGTCACTAGCAGCAATCTAGAACTGGAACTGTGGCCTCAGGACTTCCAGAGCACTCTTCCCCTCAAAGGAAGACCACCTTCCAGAAGTCTGACCAGTGAGTGAGCCAATGCTTTTGCTTCTAGGAACTTGGCTGTCTTTTTCTCTGTTGCTGCACATTTTACAGTTATAAGGAAGTTTTATGGCCCAGGATTCAAACCCAAGTGCTCTGGACTAAATTCTGTAGAAGGGCCTGAGCAGAACCTGAAACGGGCAAGAAAAAAAAAAAAGTAAAGGGCTGCTTTCTCTTTGTACCTAGTATGAATGAAAGGCCCAGATGTTACTTGTCAGGCATTTCCCCTGCTTCCTCTTCTAGCATGTGTCTGCATGGTGTCAGGGCCTGGCTAGGAGCTGCTTTCTTAAGCAGTGGCCACAGCCACAAACCTCTTGGGGACCTCTATCCACACCCTCACTTCTTTCTGGATCCTGATCTTGGCTGCCACATTCCCTTGTTGCTCCTGCCAAGAGTAGCCTTCTGGAGAAAGGCTAGCAGGACATTGCAGAGCAGCTTTAGGGTGATAAGTGCTGGAAAACTGGAGAGGCCTCTGGGTTCCTAATAATCAACTCAGTAGCAACTCACACAGCCCACTTTCTCACGGTGGCCAGTTTACCCCACTGACAGCTGTGCTACCAGCAAGCTGTGATGAGTGACATTAAGCCCTGGATAGATGGATGAAATTTGGCTACCTACTGGACTCGCTCTCTTATGGCATTTCACCCAGAAATAGTGGGAAATACAAGAATCAGAATGTAGAGGTATATGCATTAGACCCTTTCGAACCCCAAGACAACAGAATTCTCTGAACTTTCCCTTTTGTCCCAACTGTGTGGAAATAAAACCCCTGCCCAGTACTCACACCAATTCTTCCTTCGCTGTAGAAACCCCTTTTCTCATCTAGAACATGTTTCTCAGTCCTCTTCCCACCACAGTATCTAGAGTTAGTTTTCCTTCTAGTGGAAAAGGCTGCAAGAGAAACCCCTCTTACCCCAAGGCAGCTCCCTGGCTTGCATGTTAGACAGCCTGTCCCCATGGCAACTTAAGGCACTGGTGTGACTGGTATTAAGCTGTAAATGTGTTCCTTGGGAAAGAGAACACACTGATCCATCACCGTCCATGAAAACTCTCTCATGAAAGACCAATAAGATTTACTTGAATATTACAAGCTTACTGTAATACTCCAGGCTGGCCTCAAACTCACGATCCTGCTTGGATTACAGACACATACCACCATGCCCAGTTTCACAAGGCCTTATCTGAAGTTCCTAGATCTGTAAAAACTTCTGATTATCCAATGTTTTCATAGGATTAACATAAAAAATCATTAGGCAGCAACATCTGAACTAAACTGATGTAAACTTTCGTAGTATTTATCCTATTCAGTGTGATTTTGCATGTAAATTGCTGCAGAGAGTGTGTTTAATTAGACCAACTCGGAGGCTGTCTAGAGATTACTGAAGGTACTGCCCAATCCTAGGTCTTTCTACCATCAGGAACATTCTGGATTCAGAGGACGCCTGTTCCCATGAGATTCAGATAGGCACAGTGACTGCGGTCTTGGAGACACTGCTTTTCCCACCCTCAGGCTGGACACAGAAGACCTTAAACCAAGATCCTGTAACATTGATAGCTTACAGAATGTTCTGTTTGTCATTCTCACCTTTGATCCTTATTCATACCCGTGAAACAACCATGGCAGATAGCAATAACGTCATTTAACGAAGAAGAGCACTCGAGTGTCAGAGAGTGTAGCTACTTCCCTATGATCACACTTTGCAAACATTGAGCTCCAGACCCAGTTCTAATCTTCTAAACAAAATACAAACATGTGGAGGAGGTTGGTCCTGAAGCCAGGCAAAGATGCCGAAAATGGTACTTTGTATTCAGGTATCTCCTATCTTGATGTCTACCCTGTCTTCCTTCTCACTTCTCCTTTGTGACCTAGATTTGTTGAGGATACACATACTGACATGTCAAATGACTGTATTAATGATTCAAAATGGCACAACCATTGTGCGAATATGAAGATCTCTTTAAAGAAACTGTTCAAGCTCCCAAGAAGCCTGGCTATCAGTAGACATTCTTAAGGACCAGGGCAGGAATATCTTTCTCAGATTCCTCTGCCTATTGTCCCTAGAAAATTACGAGTGATGGTGATGGCAGCAGTTACAGCAAACACATAATGCTACACGCATTGTTCCGAGCATCTTCCCTACATGATCTTGTAGGATCCCCACAAACAACCCTATTCAGTAGTTGCGTCGAATGTAAGAATGTTATAGATGAGGACATCAGACACAGAGAAATTAAGTAATTTTCCCAAGACCGTACAGTTAAGAAAAGTTGCAGAGCTGAGACATGAAGTCGGGCTGTCTGGCTACTGATCCCATATTTTGAAAAAAAAAATATGAAGACCAGGCTATCCTGAAGGTCACCAATTGAAGGTAGATATATTGAGACCCTTTGCAGACTTAGACCTCCCTTGACCAAGGGATACCCTGCACTGTCCAATCATTTAGAAAAGCTTTTCCCTGTTCTGTACAAGTTCTAGCGTCTCCTGCCCCATAGGGACAGCCCTTCCTGCCAATCCCTGTCTGCAGTATAGCCCCGTCCCATCCCTCCTGTCCCACACTCACCTTAAAACCCATTGGCCGAAGTTTACATGCTATTTCTGCATCATGCAGTGCATCCTCATGAGACTCCAAGGTGAAATAAATTTGAGACCGATTGCTATAAAGCAAATGATCATTTGGAGCTGCCAAAATGAGAAAAAAAAAAGCCCTCATTAATGGCCCCCAGCACAAGCATGTGATAAGTCCTGTATGAGGATGGATCTTGAGGAAAGAAAAGTTACCTAAGCTCTTTCTACTGGATCCAAAAGGTTAAGTGTCATTTCCAGTCCTAATATTGTCCTGACTTTAACACCCTAGCTTCTCCATGCAAAGGGGTAATGCTGCCCTCCTTTTTCAAGTGGGTCCTAGGAAGTGTGGTATCCATAATGCATTAGAAACTTTCACCTAGAGGAAATCCCGGCACTGTTCTGCCAGATGGATGATGCACATTGCTAGTGTCCAGCAGCCTGGTGTCTGAATGAGCCACTATCAAAAAAGAATGAAGCCAGGGAACAGAGGCAGCCAGATGTGACCCCTATTTGGACCCCCCCAATAAGACAAGTCCATGTTAGTATTCTAGGCAGGATTATCTGTGGTATTAACACCACCTCTCCCTCTTCCCAATGGTCAGTGAATATGAAGCTTTCCAGGAAGAAGCAGCTATGCATTTACAAGGTCCATCCTGCTATCGATGGCCAAATGAGAAAGTACCTTGACAAGGCTTTTAGGAGGCTTATTCTCACCATCACTGAATCACTGGAGTTCAGTCCTAGACAGGACTTTAACCCACCCACTCTTTAGATAAGGAAAACAAGGCCAACGAGATGAAGTGATAGGGCTAGAAGTCACAGGGCTGGTTAGAGCCAATGCTAGTGGATGTTAACATTTTGAGGCTTCGGTAGAGGGAAGTTCCTTCTTCTGAGTGTGGGCACAGCATTTAGAACAAGAAAACACTAGCCAGTCCCAGGATAAATACAGTCAGTTGAAGAGGCCCCTTTTCCTCTTAGGAGGGTGAAGGTGGTATTGACAGTTTTGCCCCGACTGCTCTGAGGAGATTAACAAAGGTATAGGAAAGATGCTCCTGGGGAAAGTGGTGGCAGTGATAGAAGGGGAATGCATGGGAAGGGGCTTTCCTGCCCAGCACTTGGGGAATGGATGAAAGGAATACAGTCTCCCTTAGAATTCCATGCATAAGTGGCCAGAAACTGTTTCATTCATATTGCTGCATTCTTCCTCAGGTTCTGGGCTACAGCTTCTATTGCTTGAAACAGGCTTTGGCGTCTGCCTCTACTCCATCCCTCAGACATAGGCTCAGGGATGACCTGGGTGCTCATTATTTGCTCTTGCCTTTAGCATAGAGTTTACAGTCTTCTCTGCCACGTTGCTCAAACGCACAGCAGCAGCTCACAGCCTGTTTTGTATAGGCACAGACAGAATATGTGTTGTGAGTAGGTTTGTGTCCCTCAGTCCTCACGTCCTGTCAACCCTGGTTTTCTTCCCTCCAGCATTACCTGTTGCTGGTTTGAGTGGGATTCAACATGTGGAGACTCCATCCCATCCCTCCTCCGTCCATCAGAGATGACCTGGGAGACCCTAGGATCCCACAGCCCTGTCTGCTTAGCCCCACTGCCTCCTCCCCAGCAAGCTTCTCTGGACACTGCGCCCTGCCTGCCTGCAGAGGTGCTGGCACCAGCTTGTGGTTCCAAGGCCACTTCTGGATCTGAGTGGGAGGAGGCAGGTGAAGCAAACAGGTCCCTGGGAGAACTCCTGTGCTCCAGTCCAGGAGAGATGTGGGACTGCCCGGGTTGCCCTTGAAGCTACAAAGCCCACCCTACCTCTTCAGGCAACTCTTGGAGAAGGTAGACAGAGGCATATCCCCTTTGTAGACCGGCCCTTGTTTCCTCGGGAATCCCGAGAAGTTACCTGGTCCTGCCGCCCATTGGCTTAGAGGGGTCAAAGGGTTCGATGTCAGGGCACAGGCTGTCTGACTCCGGCGGGTGGAGGGGGGTGGGGTGGGCAAGTGCATCTATTTCAGCCAAGGATCGTGTGATAGGAAGCAGTGACAATGAGTCACAGGGCAGCGGGGAGCGAGCCCCCCCTTCCGCCCCCCGCACACGCTCGCGGGATGGTTTCCGAGGCGAGCGTGGCCCACTTCGGTTACCTCAGCGTTACACAATCCCCGCCTGCCCGCCTGCCCGCCCGCCCGCCCGCCCGCGCGGAGGAGGGGCCGCCGGCCCGGGCGGCTCGAGGTCCTTATGCAACCAGTGCTCTCCTGACCTAATTCCAGGCCGGACCCACCCCACAGGGAGCCGCGGCCCCGGAAGGGGCAACTCCCAGAGACGGGAGCCGCAGACTCCGGCGGGCGCCGGCGGGCCACCTCGGGCTGGCAAAAGCCAGGAGGACCGCGCGGGAGTTTGAGAAATAGTGCCAAGTTCCTCTCCCGGCAGCAAAGGTGCCGGCAGGTGGAAGAGGGAGCTCTGAAGTGTCCAGGAAAAATAGAGGAACAGAGACGCTGACACCCAGCAAGACAGAAACAGGGACAAAGATGAGAAGAAACGCGCAAAAAGAGAGGAAGAGAACGAAACTGGGACCGGGAGGCGTAGAAGCACAAAAGCAAGCAGGAGAGACGGGAAAGACCGTAAAAAAGCAACAGAACCGGAGAGACTGAGGCACAGCTAAAGTAGAGAAGACAAACTCCTAGAAATGTCCCTCCTCCTCCTCCTCTTGGGCCACAGGCCATTCCCTTCCCCCCCTGCCCCGTGCGCACCCAACTCTGCCCTGGTCCATCCCCCATCTCGCAGCCCGGCTCATTCTCCCGCCCCCTCGCGTCGTGACCAAGCCCTCGCGGCCCGGTAGCGGCTGGAGGACTCACCCAGCCGAACTGCCTCGTTGTATTTGAGCAGAGCTGCCTCCACCTGGCGCTCGCGATACAGCCGGTTGCCCTCGTGCCGGAGTTGCGACGCCCGCGCCGGGCCCGGGAACAACTTGCCCAGAAGGCCGCTGAGTACCACGTTGACTCGCAGTTGCAGTGGCGCCTGCTGCTCAGCCCGCCGCGGCCCGCGTGCCCTCCCACTGGCCATCATGAGAGCCGAGAGCTTGACCCCGCACAGCGCACAGCGCCGATCGGCGGCCCGCCCACGTTCCAGGCACAGTTTACAAAAGGTGTGGCCGCACCACAAGGACACGGGGTCTGAGAGAAATCCGTGACACTTCCGGCACTTAAAGCCATCCCATACCTCGGGGGCCACGGCTGCAGCCTCCCCTGCCTCTTGCACGGCCACCTTGCAGCAGCTTGAGGTGCCGCTCTGGTCCGAGGGAGCTGGCGCCACCGGCTCCTTTTGCGGGACGCTCTCAGCCAGACAGCGCACCAGCTGCTCCAGCTGCTCAGCCACGAGCTGCTGCCTCTCGGAGAGCTGTCTGTACACCTCGAGGGCTTCCCGAAGGCGCCCCCCGGATGCCAAGGCATCTGCCTGTGTGAGCAGGACTTTGCACTCTGACGGCGTCGAGGTCCCCGGAGGCTGTGTTTGCTCCAGCTCTTGCGTCCGGGGAGCTTCAGAGTTCTCGGGAGACTCGTCTGGGTGGGCCTCCGAGTCTCCTTCGGACACTGATGCCGCCCGCTCTTCCGGCTCCGCCAGCTCCGCCAGTTCTAAGTTGTTGCTGCCGAGCTCAGCGGGCAAGCTCAACATCTGTGCAGTCTGAAATGAATCCATAGAGAGAGGGACCTGCGGAGGTTGGGGCGGGGGAGGAGGCGTCTAGGAACAGGGAACTAGGAGGAAGGAGCGACGGCTGGAAGCGAGCCGCGCTGCCATGAACGCGGGATCGCAGTGCGCCCGGCTCTGCCTCGCCTCCTGGAGCTCCATGCCGGCTGCCCCGCGCCGCCTAATAACTGTCTTGTCTCAGCAAAGTGTTATATAAAACGTCACCACGTGACGCCCCACCACGCTGCTCATTGGCCGGCAGCGGGGAAATTGTTACAAAACCAGACAGTTTTGTAACAGCGTTGTGCTTGCTTCTTTTGGCTTAGGGTTTCTTGGCTTCTTTTTTGAGGTTGTTTGTGTTTACTCTTTATTTCCCACTCGCGACTTGGATCATTTATGAACCGGGGAGAGGAACGCAACCTCTTCTTCCACGCTTTTCCATCTCTAAACTCTATCCCATCCCACCTCCAAAGTAGCCAGCAAACAGGTCCGCTCTGCCAGCCGCTTGCTAGAGTCCCCTGCCCCGGAGAGGCCAGTCCCAATGGGCTCTAGGCACAGGATCTGCTGGAATGCCTGGCTCGCTCTCCTCCAGGGGGTGATGGCTGCTGTATGCAAACGGAATGGGTAGCTGAGGGGCACCCAAGAAGTCCTCACCCTTTGTTCCCTAGAAGAGCCCTAAGTGCCTCCACTGAAGCTCCTGAGTTTCCTGGGGGAATCCCCTCAAAGAGACTTAGGGCAGTTTCAGGAGAGCTCTTTGTTTCCCACTTAGACTGCGAATCCCAAGCAGCGGGTCTAACGGATGAAAAAAGTTGGGCAGCCAGTGCCGGGCAGCAAGGGAAGCACGAAGATTGGGTTGCTGACTCGGACCCCAGAGAGGTGCCCTCTGGCCCGCCTCCTCTTTTTCTCTCCTAATTCCGGAACCAGTGCTGGAGCGAGCAGTGGGCACCCAGCTGGAGATTCACGGGCTCCTGGACCCAGAGACCAGATGGGCACACCCTGGAGAGCTGAGTTTATTGAGTTTGGTGGACACTGGGGGCGTGAGAGAGTAGCGGGCGGGCGGAGGACACCAGCCCAAGGCAGAGCAAATCCAGAAGGAAGTCAGAGGATTCAGACACAGCCCAGCTACCTAACAGCCTCCAGGTTCGCAAGAGCTGACTTCTGACAGTGGTGCCTCACCATAGGGGTTGCACCCTTGGGCTAGGTTGGACTCGAGTAGTAGTGCCTGGCTTGGGCGGGCAGGGGTAGGAATTCGACCAGGCAAAGTTTAAAAAATGCCAGACTGGTTACAGAGCACACAGAGGTTTACTGCCAGCCCCTGCATTTCAGACAAGAGCCATGAACAAAATGAACAGACAGGTTTTCATACATAAAGGAATGCTATACTTCAGGGACAGTTGTGCTGCTCCAAGAAGGAAGGCAGAGTTCAGGCTTGCTCTCAGTTGGCCTACCCCTCCAGCGCCTAGAGGTCCTGGCCAGTGCTCAAAGTAAGAGTCCCAGCAGAGTGCCACCAAGTTGACTCCTGCTGTGGCCATTTAGCTGGGGGACTTTGGGCAATATCATCTAAACCTGTTATTTTCACTTCTAAACAAACAAATGTCTGGGGTGGTTTTAGCTGGGATGAAATCTTGTTTCAGAGCTGGGATGTCTGACTCTCTCCCAGCACTGAGGTCCTTAATCCAGCCTTAAGCCCACAAACACCAAGGTCCCAGAGAATAAGTACAGATACTGTGCAGCACAGTCCAGAGCCCTCTCTCTGGTCAGACAGAACAGTAAGCATGCGACAGAGAAGAGAAGGAAGGCAATTTATAGACGAAAAAGGAGCAAGAAATCAAAGTGGCCTCAGGATCCAACCAGGAAGGCAGGATCCACTTAGGAAAACTTGGTCTAGTCTTAGCTGTCATGATTTGCTGTCAGACAGACCCTGAACAAATCTTTGGGGTCCTAAGGTTTCCTCCAGCCCCAATCTTGAGTGTTCTTGATCCTAAAACCAGATTTCAGGTGTTAACTACTGAATCCCAAATAACTATTCCATATGCTATGGCGGCAGAGGGCAGGAGGATGCTTGGAACTTCAACCATAGCAAATGCTTGTCCTCTATCAGAGTCCAGCCTGAGCTGGATTTTAAAGATAGGTAGCCATCAGGAGATGGAAGAGATGGAGACAAATCAGCAGGGAAGAAGCTGCAGCTTCTGGTGGCTTGCTCTCTGGGACTGGGACATTCCTTTCATGCCTTAGTTTACTGTCAAATGGAATTCCCAGAACTAGTTATATACCTACCGATTCTGGCATATAAGGAAGTTATATGTATAACTGTCTTTCTTATAAGGAAGGACAATCTGTAGGGCATGAAGAGATTCATATGAAAGGTCTATGACACTAGTAACATTGAAACCTCTTAATTTAAAAGCATTATATGTTTGACATCTCCAAAACATTACCCCAGATTGTTTTCCAAAGATGAAGGGGGGGAGGTATGCTTTGCTTCTCAGACCACTCTGTCAAGTAAGCTCCTTGGCATTATCTCTCAACCTGTTGGTGATGGGGAAACAAGGATGTCGGACAGGTTGGGCAGAGGGTCACAGTCCTACAAACATGGAGAAAGATGTGTTCTCTAGGGAGACTTGGACACCTGCATGTACACGACGCTGACCGTGAATTTGGTTAGGAATATTTCTGATTGTCAGGGTAATGTAGGGTGCTCTGATGTAAAAGGCAGCTGCACCTAGCTGGCTGCTGACCGTAGCAGACTCCACAGAGGAGCTTTTTATACTGTGATCCACTGTAGTTGACTATACCCAACAAGCATTCTACTGCATGCTGGAGAAACTACCACACTAGTTTCCTTTCCTTCTTATTTAAGTTAAAAAAACACTAATCTCATATACATTTGTGGATTAAGGTGGAAATCTCTTACTGAAAACAACCTCTTCCATGCTCTTAGTAATAACTGCGGGATCCCTGGAGTGAGGGTGGGTGGAGGGAGTTGGCAGTATTTTCTTTTCAGATACACATGTCCCCACTGAAAGATCATCTTCTATTTATTTTGTTAAGATTGCAAGTGGCCAAAATGAACTGGGAAAAGAGCAAGACTTGAAACATTTCTCATTTCTCCTGGATACAAGAAAAGTTTTCCAGTTAGGCTCTGAAGAACCTTCCTGGGATCCAGAGGGGAGAGCAAACAGGACTGCTCCCTAGATTTCCTCAATCAAGACAGTATCATATCCAACTCATTCATGTAGTGAGCAAACAGGAAATGGTCCCTAGCTTTCCTCAATCAAGACAGTATCATATCCAACTCAATCATGTAGTGAGCTTAAGACACGATTGCATTTAAGATGTCTCTTTAAAACAAAAGGTTTGAGAGTCACGGACATTTTCATTCACTTTCAGATATTTATAGTGAGTATCACCTGTGTAGTAGCAGACTCTATTCTATGTACTGGAGCTTTCTGTAAGCAACCCTTAGTTCTCAGGTAGTTCTTTATGGACAATAGCACATCCCCATGTCTGTGTACCAACTTTCTGAGTAAATCAGATGCTCCATGAAAGAAAAGAATACTTGTGTCTTGTGTCATCCTTGTCCTCCTCAGAACACATTACTTGAACAGGTTTTATCAAACATAATAACAAACATTTTAGTCCAGACTAGAAACAGAGGGACAAGCAGAAATCCAGCTGGAATGAACCTCTGCACCAGCTCATTCATAAAAAGAACTGAACAGGCATGAAGATAGTGAACGTTTCACATTCCTAGGATGGAAGTGTCCGGTCAAAACCAAGAACATGGATGAGAAGTGAGCAACATTCTCCTCTCCATACACACAATGCATAGAACCGAGGCCAAATCACATACTTTGCTCTCTACCCAGGTTTCTCATTTCAGAACTTGGAGTCGATTTACACTTTTAAAAGACATTCACACCTTCACATGAGAAAAAGACTGTCCATTGCTATGCAGAATAGCCCAGCGCTAACATGAAGCTTACTTCTCAGCCCTGGCTTCACATATGAGGAAATTAAATGCCAGAGAAAGCAAGTGACTTACTACAAATCACAATGGGAGTTTAGGACACAGCCAGGATCGGAAGCCAGGGCTTCTGTCTATGAGACTTTTCCCATGTGATCATTTTGCTTCCAAAGGACACGGAGCTTCTGTCCAAATAAGTAAGAAATTATGTCAGATATCCCATCTACAAGACTTCCATCAGTTCAACTCATATGCACCGAATATGCGCTGTGTGCTAATGAAGCTGGCATTTGGAGCAATAATAATAGGATATGGTGTACATACTCCTTACTCTCCAGTAGCTTCTTGAGGATATGAGAAGCAAAGATCTGAAGCAGTTAAGTAAAGACAACAGGCAGTATGTAATAAGTGCCAAGACTGGAGGAACACTGTGTTTATGGGAATGCTCAAACACAACAGACTGTGGCACTTCCCATCTCACAAAGAAGGTGCCTGTCAGCTAAGTGACAGGGGCTTTGAACAGCTGCTTCTAAACTCAAGGGGGCTCCATATTGGGGCTGGGCTCCCTGGGAAGAGCGGGGGGGGGGGAGGGGGGGGGGGGGGGGGGGGGGGGGAGGGAACATTCCAAGCTGAGCTGGCCAAGCCCCAGGGTATCTTTTTTGTGTTGCTGGGGACTGAACCCAGAGCCTTACACATGCTCAGCAGGTGCTCTACCTTTGTGCTGCACTCCTAGCCCAAGCATTCTAGTTTTAAAAGTTCTCCAGGAGACTGCCATGCTCCAGTTGGCCTGACGTTCACCTGTGGAAAGGATGAAGCAGATCCTTCTTTCCCTACTTCGTCCTCAGTATCCCCAAAGGACCCCAGGGATATCAAGAGTTCTTTGCTACATCTGAATGGAGGGCAACCTGAAGATCTACTGATTTTCAATGGTGAGGCCTCCTGCCAAGCAGGAAACAAAGCGAGATCATCAATACCAAACAGAGGAAGGTTTCCTTTACTTATCACCAAGACAATTCAGACCTGCTTCCATAGCCAGTGAATCTGTTGTACAAAGTACAAAAAAAAAAAAAGAGCAAGGTTGTGGAGCTGGCAGCCACATCGGAAAGGCAGGGTGAGGTTTGTTACTGGGAGCATGCTGTTTCAACTTCACTGTGTGACTCAGCCCAAGGCACTTTCCTCTTCTCTTTATGTCTCTTCTTGACCTATTAATAATGATGTCCAACGTCACTGTCAGGATTAGCTCCCAGTGATGGAAAAGGCACAGTGTAGCTAGTCCTGATGTCACTCCTGGGAACAGACGGGATCCACAGCCATCTGCCAATGGTTATGAGTAAAATGTGTGTGTGCCACCTTCAGAGTAACCGTCGTCTTCCTAGGAGGAGAATGAACTAGACATCTAAGTCAATGACCGATGTGGAAGGTCTAGAGGCCCTGGCAGGGAGAATTCTGGCCTTAGGAGAGAAGAAATAAAATCCAAATTAAAAGATTCATCAGGTGTGAATTTTCTGACATTGCAAGACTTGGAAATGGTTAGAATTAGGGGTTAGCTTTTCCAATTGTACTCAAATCAACATTTAAAGTTTTATACATTAACCATTGGAAGGGCATGGTATTAAGTACATTCACACTGCTAAGAAAACATGGCCACTATCAATAGTTAGAGCTCTTTCTTTCCCACTGTGAAAAGTACTACACATACCATTCAAAGCTAACTCCCTGGTCCCCATCCCCTCACTGCTGGCACCGCCATTCTACTATCTGTCTGTGTCTACTGCATTATGATAGTAGCTCAAATAAGAGGACTCATATGTTTTTCTCTTTTGGTTTTATCCATATCATGGTATATATCAAGATACCCTAACATTTAAAAGGATGAATGATATTCCATTGACTGTCTACACATTTATCTATTCCTCCGTTAATGGACACTTAGACTGTATCACTTTTGAGCTATTGTATAGAGTACATCTATAAATTGCAGTAAGCAAATATCCCTTTGAGATTCTGTGATTAACTCCATAAAGTATATACCTAGAGGTGGAATTGCTGGATCATGTGGTGGGTACTTCTATTTTTAAAGGAATCTCCATACTGTCTTTCACAACAACTGAACCATTTTACATCCCACCAGCAATGCACAAGGAAGGGTTCTAACTTCTCCACTTCCTTGTCAACACATTTTAAAAATAGAAGCCACCCTAATGGGTGTGAAGTGTTATTTCATTGTCGTTTGAATTAGCATTTTGTGGTGATCAATGATGTTCAACATATTTCCATATGCTTTTTGGACACTTGTATATCTTCTTTATAGAGATATCTACTCAAGTTTCTGTATTCATTTTTAATATCCTGTTGGAATTGTTTGAAATCACTGAGTTCTAGTAGTTCTGTGACCTGTCGGTAACTCAGCAAACGCACAAGTAACAGATGATATTCTCATCTTGTGAATCATCTTTTCACTCTGTCAGTAATTTCCTCATTTGAAAACTTTGTAAGGACTAGGATTTTGAACTTGTAATCTCTACATCCAAAGTCTGGCTGTGAAGCTAGGCATGGTGGAACGTGCTTGTAATCAGAATCTGGGAGACTGGGCACAAGGACCACTGCCAGTTCAAAACCAGCCTGGGTTTCAGAGTAAGTTCCAGGCCAGTCTGGCTTGCAGGGCAGATCTTGTTGAAAAAACAACGATAAAAACTTAGCTATGAGACACTGGGTAAGATACTCAATGTTTTTAAACCTATATTTGTAGACTTAGTTTTTTTTTTTAATCTGAAAAATTAGGATGATTCTTATAGGAGAACCTAATTTATAAGATTGATATAATGAGTAAGTGACATCATCACATCAAATCTTACCTCAGTCTAGTCCACTTTAAATGTTCACTAACTGGAAAGCCTTATTAAGTAATCAGCTTTAAGAAAGAACAAGAATGACAGAACTGAAATGTGATATCAGTTACTATCAAAAAGTTTTATCCAACAATAGTAAATAGCCAAGTTGAACACGGTAATATTATGCAACACTTAATACTAGTATGGCAAGCTGCAGTTTCAAAAAACTTTTAAACATGTATCATTCATTCAACAGGCTCTGCTGGGAATATGATCACGAGTAAGACACAGTCGGGCAGAACTGAGTGGGAGAAATAAACGAGGAAAAGGGCAGTTTCAATCAGGCTGATGAATGCTCAGAAGACAGAAGCATGAAGAGGAGGAAGCACAGAGGAAAAGCAGTTCAGATTGGGGGAGGACCTCCTGTGAAGATAATAAGGGCACAGAATTCTGCACAGTTCAGTAGCTAAGGGAAAGAAAGGGCAAGCTGGAAAGACTGAGTGTTCTAGGTACAGCAAGAAACTAGCACAAAGGCTAGAGGTCAAAGAGACTGCCTTGGGAAAGAACCATTAGTTTGCTCTGACTGCAGTCTAAAATTTAAGCAAAGAGAGGTGTGGGAGAACCTAGAAAGTGCAGCACTTGTCAGTCATGAAAAGTGTTTTAGACTAGAGTAAGGGGTTGGAATCTTTTCTTTTCCTTTAAAACATAACAGTAGCTCAGGCTGGCCCTCCAACTAATGGCAATCCCCAAGAGCCTACATGAGCTAGTACATTCAGGTTCAGGAGTTGGAATCTTTATCTTGGAAATGACAGAGAGGGATTAGAACAGAGAGGGAAATTGCCACAGTGGAGAGATTAGAATGTAGAAAAGGAAGAAGCACAGCATTTGAGAGACAAAGAAAAGGGAGCAGAGGTGGGGACTGAATGGATGACCTTGATTGACACTTTGCCAGTTAGAGACTTAGGTGTTCCCAGGGTTTCCTCCAAGCTGAGCAGTGGGGGTCGAGGACAGCGAAGCAGATTGTACAAGGTCCTTCTGTCATATAGGACTCTGGCATTCCTCACTGACATCTCTCACTCACTTCATAAGATGAAGCTGGGAGACAAGTTTCTATATCCACATGTATAAATCCCTTTAAAGTCCCCAAGCCCTG